TGGTGTCCCCATCTGGCTGCATGACCTCAGGAAGGTCTCATCCCCTTTCTGGGCCTCGACGTCTTCATCTGCCCTATGGGAATCAGGTTTCTGTGTTACTAGGGGGTGTGGGAGGATGAAGTGAGGGCACGGAGGAGGAGGATCGTATGAATATAAGGATTATTCTCTGGGTCAGGAGAGGAGAAGGAGTGGAGGCCTCCCTTCCACCTGCCAAGGGCGCAAAGGAAGCAGCGGGAGGAGCTGGGGACCACCCAGGAGAGCAAACAGTCTATCTGTGGGACGGGCACGCTGTCAGCAGCTGGGAGGCCCGGCCTGGACTCCTCGCAGGCCAGAGCCCGCGGGGCCACCACCCAGGCTGCCTGGAGAATTGGGACAGGGAGCGGGCTTTTGCTGCTCGCAGCCCCAGGGCAGCCACAGCCCTGCTGCCTCTCCAAGCGCTCATCATCACCCTCCCATTCTTAACACCCACTCCCTGGACCGTACCCCTCCTCCCTTTTAGTCGTCCCATCCCCACAGCCAGAGAGTGCTTTCACAAAATAAACCCGCTCATGTCCCATGCTTGCCCAGAACCTTCCAGTAGCTTCTCGCTGATCTGTGAACAAAATCCAATCGCCTTACCTTAGTCACCAACCCCTGGAGGGATCTGCCACTCCCACCCCCCACCTCCAGGTGTGAAGAGCCTGGCCTCAGAGAAAATCTGCCCCGGTTAGAGTCCTGACTCTTTTCCTCATTCCTTCATTCGTTCATTCATTCATTCATTCATTCATTCATTCAAAAATGTTTATTCACCACCTACTATGGAGCAGGCACTGTTCTATGCATTTGGGATTCATCATTAACAAATGAGACAAAGATTCCTGCCCTTGTGGAACTTACTTTCTAGCAGAGGGAGAGTAACAATAAATATAAAGAAGTTAATTATATAACTACTGGAAAGTGACAAATGTTATGGGAAAAAAAGGAGAAAAAACTAGAGCAGAGGAAGCTGATCCTTGGACAGGGAGGGGTTGGGTTTGCATTTTTTAATACAATAGAGTGGTCAGGGTAGGTCTTGCTGAGAAGGTGAAATTTAAGCAAAGACTTGTAGCAAGTGAGGGAAGGAGACCTGCAGAAGGTGGGGCAGAGGGAAACCGTGGGGAGAGAGGTGGGAAATGCTTCAGAGAGGTAGGGCGGCGCATGCAGGGTCTTGTGGGTCGTGGCCAGGACTTGGGTTTTTACTGAGTAAGTTGGGAGTGTTGGAGAATTTGGCCATAGACCTTGAGGAGGGCAGGACACGGAAGGACAGGAAGCCGAGCAGGCCTTGCAAATGTCCTGTGGATGGCAGCTTCCGCCTGATCCCACAAGGGGGACTTCGGAGTGCAAATTACACCTCGGAGTCATCCACCCACACCCCTACCAGCATCCTGGGTGAGGAAGGTGGGATTTCACATCTCTGAAAGGATGGGCCATTGCTTAGGGGGAAGGCAATTCACCCCAGGAGGCTCCAGCAGCCTGAGGGCAGTCCCCCCTAAGGAGAGAAGTGGGTGCTGGTCACTGGGCACATACCCAAAGGGGGTGCACAGTAACGGGGGACCCCAGGGGAGTGGGTGTAGCATTGCTCTTAATGTTGGAGGTTTCAGCCTCCAAACACCGAAGTCCCAGCAGCCATGTCCCTTTTGGCCTGGGCTGAGGATGCCTAAAGATTGGGGGCATGCGGGGCGCCTGGGTGGCTTAGTCGGTTAAGCGTCCGACTTTCGCTTAGGTCATGATCTCGCGGTTCGTGGGTTTGAGCCCCGCGTCGGGCTCTGTGCTGACTGCCAGCTCGGAGCCTGGAGCCTGTTTCAGAGTCTGTATCTCCCTCTCTCTCTGACCCTCCCCTGCTCACGCTGTCTCTCTCTCTCTCTCCTAGAAATAAATAAAACATTAAAAAAAAAAAAAAAGAAAGATTGGGGGCATGCCCAGTGTGACCATGCAGGGTTCCTCTGGTTGGGGATCACCCGTCCACCCCTACACCCCCACCCCAGGCTGCACCCCATCCCCTGCAGTATCTTCAGCTTGTGGTGGTCCAGGCTTCTGGGATCGGAACTAGTTACCCTGGAGTTAGCTCTGTTTCTCTTTGAACACTTTGGATTTTACAAAGCTCTGCTTCGTGTTGAGTCTTCTCATTCATTCTGTAAACGTTGACTGAGCACCTACTGTGTGCCAGGCACCGTTGGAAGTTCTGGAGACACAGCAGTGACCAAGATAGATAACGGTGTCCCCCCTGGAGCTTACGGCTGGAGAGGGAGATGACCCCCACTGGATGGGGGGCACCCAGGAAGCTGTGTGTGCCTAGAGGAGACTCCTGATCCTTGGGAGGAAGTGACACCAGGGTGATGAGTAGGGTGTGTGTGGCAGTTACACAGGTGCAAAGGTGAGATCAATCCAGGCTCACAGAGGAGTGAGTGCAAAAGCCATGATACCCCCACCATGCCTGCCCCGCCCATCCCCTGTTACTTCCCAGTGCTGTGACCATCCTCTCCTACTTGGATGACTGTGGCAGCCTCCTCTTGGGTGTCCCACAGAGGGGCAAAGAAGCCGAGGTACTCAGTGACTAACTCTTCTCTCTTCTTGGTTAAGGGTCACTCCTGTGAGTTGTAACTTACAGCATTCCCCCACTCAACTCCGTGGGCAGAGAGAAGCAGGAAGCCACGGGCATGTGCGGCTGGGTCTGCGGGTGACCTCCAGGGAGGGCTTTGCCAGTTTGGGCCGGGCACCCGCAGCCCCTCTATAGAACTGTTTGTTTCATGCCTCCTACACCTTTCTGATCCCGTCTCCTACCTCCTTCCCCTTGCTCATTCTGCTCTCTCAACACTGGCCTCGCTATTCTTCCAATTTGCCAAACAAAACTGATCTCAGGGCCTTTGCATGTGCTATTGCTCTGCCTGGAACACTCTTCCCCCAGATATTCACAAGGCTCACCCCTCACCCACCCCACATTTCTGCTCGAGTGCAACCGCTTCAGAGAAGCCCTCCGTGACCACCGTATCTCAAGTCATTTTTTTCTCCACCTTGTTCTGCTCGGTTGTTCTCCATGGTGTTTATCACCACCTGACGTATGATATATTTACCTGTTCATGTGTGTGTTGTTTGTCTCTCCTGCCAGACTGGAAGCTTCCTGAGGGCAAAGACCATGTCTGGTTTTTGCTTGTGGTGGAATCCCTATAGCAGGATCAGGGCAGTGAATAAATATTTGTGAAATGGATGGTTTTAAACATAAATGAAACTTATGACTTCCCTCCCCAGGGGTGCTTTCTAGGGGCCACTCACAGTTTGGGAGCCTACTCCAACCCTTCCCCATCCAGACCCCTCTGGCAGGGGTCAGGGGTCAGCCTGGTCCAGCCCTCTTTGGGCCCCAAGGTAGAGGAGAGCCAGTCCTGGGGTCTAGGTCCCAGAGATGCCTGGTAAGCCCTGGTTCTCCTTTGGCAAATGTTCCTCTTTCCTTCATAGGGCCTGTGCCTACGTTTCTGAACCAGAAGGTGTTTACACAAAACATCTTGGGTTTGGCGACAAATTCACCCTCAGTAAGGAATCCTTAATGAATCTTCTTCTTTCCCCACGCAGGGCAGCTGCACGGAAAATTAGCTGTGCCTCTGGCACTTGAAGGAAGCCAAAGGCCAGTCAAAGAGGAGGTGCTGCTGGGGCTTCTGGGACCACAATCTGGGGGGGGGGGGAGTTGTTTTTTTCCCCCTGGATCCAGAGCAGGTTGTGGTATGGAGACCAGAACGCTTCTAGACACATATTTGTTCTAGACTTTCTGTGTCACAGGGCCTTGTGCTTCTCCTGGCCTCACTTTGCGGCTGTGAAATGGGCAGCAATAACCTATCTGCACAAAAATTGTGAACTTCAAGTAAGGCAAGGGACATAAAGGGGCTTGGTTACAAGGGCCCAAAGGAGAGGCTGTTGACTGTGTAAGGTCCTCACTGCTCTCTGGGCCTCAGGGTTTGTCTGTTTTTTTTTTTTTTCTTCCAGTTGTACAATGAGGGGTTCAGGCATGAAGATCTCTAGGGAATCTTCTAGTTCTGAGAGGCAGCCACGTTCCACCTGCCTGCCTTTTCCTGGACATCCTTCCAAATCCTCTGGCCCACACCGATGTGCTTTCTAACAGTTACAGAACTTCTTTTCTGAGCTGGCACTTGGCTGCTCATTGCACATGGTTTTCCAGCCCCTTCCCTGGTCTAGGTCAACTACCCTGGACATTGGGCCCAAGACAGGGGCTCAATGAATACTGGTGAAAGGTGAATTTTTAAAGTGATTCCTGCCTCCTTCTGATCTGGCAGAGACACAATCAGGGAGAATTTTACTCACTCCCATTTTATGCATTGGAAACTGAAGGTGTCAGAGATTAAATATGAGCCACTCTGACACATGGACCTTCTTCCTTCTTAGTGTTCCTTAAACAAGGGAAGAATGATTTGGTGTTTTGTTTTGTTTTAATTTTTATAGTTTATTTTTGAGACAGAGAGAGACAGCATGAGTGAGGGAGGGGCAGAGAGAGGGGGAGACACGGAATCTGAATAAGGCTCCAGGCTCTGAGCTGTCAGCACAGAGCCTGACTCGAGGTTAGAACCCACAAACCGTGAGATCATGACCTGAGCCGAAGTCAGACGCTTAAGTGACTGAGCCACCCAGGCGCCCCAGGGGAAGAACGATTTGTATTACTCCCACCACAGTATGTAATTACATGTTTTGTCATGAATTGTCGGTGTTTCCCAGTAGGATGACGTTGCATGAGGACAGAGACTGTGTTTTGTTCTCTGCTGCACCCTCAGCACCTAAAACTGCCGGGCACCTACCTGGTAGGTGCTCAATAGGTGAAGGCAGGCAGGAGGGTTAAAACGCAGGCCGCGAACTACGCTCTCTGGGCCTGCAGGGGGCGTTCCAGTCCCGCCCCCAAAGCTTGGCCCGCCTCCCACGTCCTGCTCTCGTTCGAGTGTTGGAGCCTGCGCGGCACAGTTCTTTTCATTGCGCATGCCCGCCAGAAGCCCTGCCCGGGCGGCGCGTGCGCGTGCGCAGCCGAAGCGGAGCCCGGACGGAGTCTGAGTTGTGTCGCAGCCGGGCTGAGTGGAGTGGAGCCGGGTGGGCACCATGCTGTCACCCGAGGCGGAACGGGTGCTTCGGTACCTGGTGGAGGTGGAAGAGCTCGCCGAGGAGGTGCTGGCGGACAAGCGGCAGGTAGGAGGCCCGTCCGCGGCGCCGGGGCTGGGGTTCGGCAGTTGGGGCCTGACGGCGAGCGCCGTAGGGCGGTGCGCTGGGCCCAGAATCCGGCTCCAGCGAGGGCTCGCGGGGGGCTGACCTGGGCTGGTGGGCTCACGGCTGTGACTACAGACGTGGGGTGGCGGTAGGGTAAGGTGGACCAGACGCCTGTCACGGCACCTGGCTTCACGCATTTATTATCACGTGGTTAGCGGGCGCCTGCTCTGTGCCAGGGAGTCCCTGTGACCACCCTTCCTCCGCCCCTCGCCGTGCCCTCCGGATCCTGAGCCATTACTCTTTGGTAGGTTTACCTTAACATCTTTTCCAAAATGCAGTTCTTGCTGCGTCGCCCCGCTGACCAGGGGTGCACAGTCTTGGCCCAGGCTCTCAGGGGAGAAGAGGAAGAGACAAGAGTGGTGTTGTGATTGGGCAGGTGGAGACGCTGGAGGAGAATTGGGGTCCTGGTCGTGGAGGGCCTTGTAGACCTGACCCGGAAGTCTGGGTCTTGGGTCTTGTGCTAATATAAGTGTTGAGTGTTTGAAGGGAGTTGATGGGGAGGGGAAGGGGGAGGATGATGTAATTGGATTTCGGCTTTAAAAGCGTTCTTCTGGCTGCTGTGTGGAGCACAAGATATAGGGGGGCATGGGGCCTGTGAGGGACCACTTCAGGCTTCTTGCCTGAAGAGATGGGTTTGGCCCTGGGTGGCGGTGATGGAGACAATGAATGGGTCAGAGGTAGGTTCTGGGGATTTAGTAGGCCTTGATGTGGTTACATGTGGGGGTAAGGGAGGAGGAGGAGTGAAGAATGATTCATGACTCGTCTCCAGTTAGAATAATTGGATGATTGGTCGGGTATTTACTGGGAAGGGGAAGACTTGGATGGATGAGTGCCCATTAAAATGAAACATTGCATCAGGGTGTGCTGGATGGTTAAGAATAAAGAAGCGATTAAAATTTGCCGAGTACTTACTGCGTGTCAAGGACTGTGCTAACTCATTTAATCCCTGGCTCAGTAACTTATGAGCTAAGTGCTATTCATATCTCCATATCTCAGAAGGCGAAATTACACAGCTTGAAGCGGGCAACAGGATTCACACCTGGGTATCGTGGCTCCCTTGCCAGCACTCTCAAGAAGGATGCCGTGCCATGCCGTCCCCTTACTTCCTTAGTAGCTTTTGTGTTGTTAGCACCGTCTCAGCATCCCCAGCCCTGCTACTGCAGTCCAGGAATGTTGAGTTTCTCCTGATAGTATGTCAGAATCAGCCGAAGGGACTTGTCCAGGGAGAGTTTCTACTCCCGCGATGATTCTGGAATGCCCTAATGCTTGAGAACGAGCACTCCAGTGAATAATAAGTCATCCATGTAGCTGGCAGACTTTCCTCCAGCACCTTCTCTGGAGAAAACACCTGCACAGAGCACTGTCCTCACGGACCCGGAGAAGTCCATGACACGTCAGTGTGTTTTGGGCATGACATTTGAAGAAACCCAGGAATGGTGCCATGTGTCTTGTTGGGTTTTAAAAGCCTCTGGTCTTTTGGAAGGTGATGGTTTGGGGCAAGAAGGAGCTGAGTTCCCCCCTGGCCCTGTGCTTTGCAGATTGTGGATCTGGACACCAAAAGGAATCAGAACCGGGAGGGCCTGCGAGCTCTGCAGAAGGATATCAGTCTCTCTGGTAAGTTAAGTCAGGGTTTCATTACTGTGGCTCTGGAGGCCTGTTCTGCCTTCCTCCTGAGGCTTTCAGCTCATTTGTAATAGAGACAAGTCAGGAAGCCCCATGTGTGTGACACAGCCTGTGGAGATGAGGGAGACAGCGCTGCAGCTCTGACATTGACTGCGGCTCAGGGCTTCAGCTGCTCATCTCCACGATGGGGGTTAGCCGCTGGCTCATCGATGGCACTAGGAAGGTGCGGGGTGGGGGGTATGAACACAGTGCAGTTCCTGCCCTTGTGCTCTTACAGATAAAACAGTGTAGATACTTAATTGGAAGTTGTGAGAAAGCTGAGGAAGGAATTGGACATGACGTGGGTGTTGGAGAAGGGGACGAACACTTTTCAGATGAGGACAGGTGGGTAAGATGGAGTAAGCAGCAGGGAGGGGCATATGATGTGGCTGGAAAGATGGGCAGAGGCCAGGCCATAATGAAGTGCTTTGGGAGCTGAGGGTTTAAAGTGCACCAGAAAGCATAAAACCTTCTCATTGCGTCTCATCTCACCAGAGTGAAAGGTGGAGTCCTGGAAGACTCCCTTGAACTCTCCAGCATCCTCTCCTCTGCTGTTCCCCCTCGCTCACTGACTCCATTCACGCTGGTCTTGCTGTTCCTAACACCCCAAGCAAACTACTGGTCTTTGCCGTTCCTTTTTCCTCTGCTTTGCTCACTTTTTCCCCAATTGTCTGCAGGGCTCACACCTCACTTTCTGCAAGTCTCTGCGCAATCTCTGCCCAGATGTTACATAATCTTTGAGCTCTTCTCAGGCCACCTGATAACAAATGACAGGTTCCTCCCTGCTCTGACATTCTCCATCCCTCTTACCTTGCTTTATTTTTCTGCAGAGTGCTTAGACTTATCAGGGTCTGAGAAGTCCCATCTTGGCTTATTCATTCCTTCTCTTCCACTGTAACGTAAGCTCTAGGAGGGCAGAAAGTTTGTCTTGTTCTACTGTGTTGTCAGCATCTAAAATGCCTGTCAAGAGAGTAGGTGCTTAAAAATACGTGTTGAAAGAGTGACCATTTGCCATTTCAGAAGATGTAATGGTTTGCTTCGGGAACATGTTTATCAAGATGCCTCACCTTCAGACGAAGGAAATGATTGAGAAAGGTAAGGCCTTCTGGGGATGAGTCAGGGGCACATCTCCCCCTGCAGCCCCAGTCTTAACCCAGAACTGAGAGTCAGCCTTTGGGCCATTTGATGAGAGGCGGCTGTGTTACAGAGTTCAGGCACATGTGGGTTTTAACGCCTGCTCTGCCACTCTGAGTTATTCCCTCATCCCTAAAGGAGAGACCCATCTCCATAGCACAGTTGTGAAGTTGAGATCAACAGCCTGTGTACTTAGACTAGTACTTTTTTCTAGTGACAGACAGTTTGCACCACAAATAAAGAAAACCCAACAAGCCGAGGCTTCGGGAAACCCGGCTCTGTTTTCCTTACCAGCAGCTGTCCAGAGGCAGGCAGGCCAGGACGCTGCCCACGGCAAGGTCACCCTCACATACTCTTGTGGTGGCTGTGTCGTCATTGCAGGCCCCGTGTCCTCACGCCAGGCTGCAGGAAGGGCAGAGGGCCTGCTCCCTATATGGCCTGGCCTTCTGTTTCAAAGTAAGACTGTCCTCCTCAGAGACTTGTACATCTCATTGGCCAGAACTGAGTCATGGGCCACCCGTAGCTTCAAGGGAGCCTGGCAGAGTGAGCGCTATTTTTCACATCCCTGTAGTAGAGACTACATTGAAAATAGAGCTTCGGGGAGAGTGAGCCTCCAGGGTCTGCTGCAGCCCGGCACTCAGCATGCGCTCAGATCTTCACAGCCACCATCCGGGAGGCTCTTCACAGAAGTATGATAAAGGCAGAGAGTCCAGCTGCAGATGGTCCTTACCTGGGAAAAGGAAAGATGACACACAGTTTTCTCTTCTCCGGCCCTAGAAACTGTATATGCCACCAAGAGGACCAGCGAGGTTGCCTCTGTCCCTGAAGGCAGAATCTCCCTATCACTGTTGAAGTAATATTTTAGCAAAGGAGCTTAGAGAAATTTCCAGCTGCCCTGTTGAAAAATGTACATGAATACTACAGTTATAAAATTAAGAGTTGTCATTGCACTTGGGTGGTGGGCCGCAGGTCACTCAGGCTAAGCGTTCAAAGGGGGTTGTTTGCCTGGGTTCAGGATCTGGTCCTCAGCTGTCTTGTCCACAAATATGGTCTTGTCACCATACCTAGGGGGTTCTGGGACATGATTGTCGCTGGTTCTCAGGGGTCCACATAAGCTGACAGAGCCCCTGAGTGCCTAGGGCTGCTCATTTACCAGGAGCGCTAGAATCACAGCCCAGGCCAGAAGGCCAGCTGCTAAGGCCTTCTTCCCCCTATCGGAAAGAATGAAAATCTGTGTGGAAGACAAACCAGCCAGCACAGTCCCTCGTGAGCAGGTGGAGTCGTTTGGGTGACATCAGGCAGTTTGTGCCACCAAGCATTGTAGCCTCTACTTCTCATAATGCAGTGCGCCTTCCAGTATGGTCAGCCTTGGCAAGATAAACTTTTCTGTTCACCATAGTTATTAGGTTAAGCTTGAGTGGCAGGCTTGTCCATTGATTGTTTTTTTTATATTTTATTATTTTTTTTAATGTTTGCTTATTCTTTGAGAGAGAAAGAGCGCATGAGCAGGGGAGGGGCAGAGTGAGGGAGACACAGAATCAGAAGCAGGCTGTAGGCTCTGAGCTGTCAGCACAGAGCTCATCTCAGGGCTTGAACTCACAAACTGCAAGATTATGACCTGAGCCGAAGTCGGACACTTAACCGACTGAGCTACCCAGGTGCTCCTGTCCATTGATTGTTTAGGTCACGTGTTACCATGGTCCTATTATCTAAGAACCCCTCACCTTGATGGAATTAGGTTTGTAAAATTCCTCAGCCATGCTTTTTCCAGCTGTCTTCTTCATTTTGGCCTGATGTTTGAGTTTTCTGCAATTTCACTATGGGAAGGTTACCTAAAGTCCAGATACTGCCTTCCCCACCCATTGAGCAGCCCAAGGTACTTTGCATAATGAAACTAGGTCAGTGAACGGAGAGGCTAGTGCTCAGTCCTGCCCTGGGCTTACTCGACCCACTTTGGCAGATCACATCCCTTCTCTAGCCTTCAGTTCCTTCCTCAGTTGGTCTCTCAAGTCCCCTTCTTCCCAAATGCCAGGAGCCCTTGCTCTCAAGGAGGCAGGGGAGAAGGGTGGGTCTGTCTGCACTGTAACCTCATCCTTTGCCCACTCCATTTATTTTTCAGATCAGGATCATCTGGATAAAGAAATAGAGAAACTCCGCAAACAACTTAAAGTGAAGGTCAACCGCCTCTTTGAGGCCCAAGGTATTGGCCTGCAGGAAACTGGAAACTAGGGAGAGAGAGGACCTGTCAACATGGACTTTGCCGCACAGGGTGGGAAGCCTGTCCCAGGTGGGCAAAGGCCTGGGCAGCGAGCAAGCGGCACTGAAGCTGTGGGCAGGGATGGTGGTTGTAGCACCGAGAGATGGGATGGACAGGGAAGGCTGTGGGGTCTTATTCCTGTCGTGAGTCCTTTTCCAGGCACAAGGAACGGCCTGGGTATCTCACATGAAATCCTAGGCATGGTAGGAAGCAGGATAGCTCTGACTGAGAGCACTCAGAGGGCCTCAGTCAGGTGGTCAAGGTCAGAGCTAAATTTCTGGGTAAACTTAACCACTCCAGATTGGGCACAGGCCTGGCAGAAATCTGGAGGCTTCTGGGCAGCAAGAGTGCAGGTTCTTGGTGACTCTTGTGCCTCGTCCAATGTGTTGCAGAATTTGAGGCCCTTCCCTGTCAGACCTCAAGGCCCAGTGTTTGGTGGCAGCGAGAGTGCAGCATAAGCCCCTTTCCTGGTTCTGACTCCAGGGCCAGCAGGAGTTGGACAACAGGAGGCCCAACTGGCTGATGGCTCGTTTTCTCCCCCAGGCAAACCAGAGCTGAAGGGTTTTAACCTGAATCCCCTCAACCAGGATGAGCTTAAAGCTCTCAAGATCATCTTAAAAGGATGAAATTCCAGAATGGGATGGGGGACTTAAGACAGCGTTCCCCCCCTGCTGTCATGGAGGACCCAGGACTCCCACTTTGAGACCTGCAAGGACATGATCCACCCTGCCGGAAGATGGGCCTCAGGAATCTGCCCCTGGAAAAGCCTCTCTCTGTCTGTGGGCTTGGCTCTGTGATGGCAGCTGGGAGCCCTCCGCCTGCCAGTGTCTGCCGGGGCTGGATGGACACAAGCCCCATTGATAGGCCGTGGCAGCCACCCGTGCTGAGTGGGAGCAGTGCCTGTGGGGGTGTGAGAATGACCGCAGCAGGCACTTTTCACAAGGGCCTGCTGTTCAGATGGGCTCCGCACGTCGGGAGCCTCATTCCCGCATTCCTCTGCAGGAGAGAGGCATTCTCAGGCGGTGCCGTGGGCCTGGAATAAAGCCGGAGGCTCGCAGGTGGTCTCTGAATGAAGACAGAATCTTAGAGCTTCCCAGTCCACCACAGCCGTCTGTGGGCCAGACACACCATTCCCCTGCCCCGCCTCCACGGCGGCCCCCTCTGTCCCCACTTGCCCCAGGATGGAGCCCAGAGTGGGGGAGTGGGTGCTGCTTATCAAACTCTTGCACCTGCCCTTTAGTCAGGAAGGCCCTGCAGAGTCCCGCACCAGGGAGCACCAGGGAGCACCAGGGACGGGTGAGGGAGCTGCCTCTACTGCCTCTGAAGGCGGGGCCTGGGTCGGTGCACTCAGGGTTCCCGCCTGCCTTCGCTGGTCTCCGGTCCTAATGTGCTGTGGGCAGCACGGTGTCTCTCATGTCAGTGAGGGCTTAATAAATGTTTCCTAAACGAATGAATAGTAAGTAGCTTCTGTTCTTGAGCTCATTTGGTCCTTAACCGAGGGCACGCTGCCTTTAGGACGCCTCCGGCCTTCAAATGCTAGCAGGACTAGACCACAGCACCAGCAGGGATGGCAACTGGGAGAGCGCACGCCTCACCTGGTCCCCTTGCTGCGCTTGGCCCCGGCCGATAATCACATGTGAACAGGCTGGTGTGTCCAGACCTTACTTTTTTCTTTCTTTTTTTTTTTTCCAAGAGGAGCTAGAAATAATCTGGATTTTTACATTGAATCTTCTCCAAAACAGAAAAGTTTTGAAGGCTTAGGTGTTGGCCAAACAAAAGACCTTCCACCAGCCAAATTTAGCCCATACCTACAATTTTGCATCTTCCTGAGTTTTTGAAGTAGAACTGCATTGTTTTCCCCATCACGGCCCTAAAGCGGGGAGATGGAATTGGAGGCTCGACGTCCGCCCGTAGCAGACTAGTTACAGGAATCAACAGCCCCAGATGGGAATACTATGCACCTTGTCAAGTGACTATGCACTTGTCAAGGACAAGGAAGCCTGCTGCGCTCTGACCGGGAGCAAGTGTCAAGGTGCTGTGAGTGAGAAGAGACAACAGCGCAGGGTCTGATGAGCCAATAACTTGTGTGCAAACACTGTGTGGCCCCCGCCCCCAGTCCCCCAAGACAGACGCTGCGGGGTTGGAGCACCAGGGTGAGAGGACCCCTCGCCTTTGTAGCACATGGTTTACATAAAAATGGGAGGAAGGGACCTGCAGTAGCTGCTGGCTGGTAGGTGCGCCTGGCTCGGGATTTCTGTCCGAATGTTGCCCACGTGTGGCAGGGTGGATGCCTGGCCAGAGGAGCCGGTCAGATCGGCTGTCCTGGACGTGAGGGACCCGTGCCCGTGGCTGTCTGGTCCCGCCTCAGTCACACAGTTGGAAGGAGGTCCCCACGCCCTGAGGCAGGAGGCCCAGAGTGGCCTAGCTTCTGGCCTCCCCAAGGCTGGCTGGTTCACTTCCTGGGTTTGTGGTAGTTTTCCTTCCCCAAACCCCTTCCCTTCCCTAGGCAGTCAAATTCTGCTCTTTGCAGCCCAAAGAACTGTCCTGCAGCAGGGAGAGTTGCAGCGGGAACTGCCTCGGGTCTCATAGGAGGCCCCCCATGGAGAAATTCACCCACAGCCCGCTCTCTTGCAGTCTCTTAGACCAAGAGGAGGCTTAGGAGCGGTGGAATATATAGAGAATGCAGAACGTTTACTTCACCTAAGTCCCCAAGCCATATCCCCTTGCTGGCCAGGCCAAGGTTTTCTGGCTTAAAAAGCTCAGCTCCCAACCTCAGGAAGGTGCAGAGAGGCCCTACATCGTCTAGCTGACTCCTGAGTCCTTTGCAGAGGCCCTCGCCAAGCAGCTTGGCCTTCCCGAGCTCATCTGTCCATTAGAGAAGTGAGGATGCTCTGGCCCGCGGGCGTTCGGGTGCTGAGGGGAGCTGCGTGAATTCCTGACACACCAGGTCAGGGTGTCGCAAGGAGGGAAAGATGTATTTAAGGCTCAGCCTTTCCCCAGACCCTCAGCAAACACAATCGAATAACTGCTTTGCAGGCACACCTTAAGACCAGTTCCCCAGTCCCTGACCCCTTCTGAAGGATCATTTGAAGCACTGACCTTCGAAACATCAAAGGGTCAAAGCCAGGAGGACCTGGCTGCAGTCAGCATCATGCCCTGAGCCAGGCCCAGTGCCCAGTGACTCAGAGTAAGGCCTGTGCTCATTTATTAGAACCTGCTGCCGGTGTCCTTGTCGGGCCTGATGGCCAAGCGAATCCCTCAAGGTCAAAGCACCTCCAGTCCCAGGGACTGGCCGTCTCCTGGTGCAGAGGCGGCTGGGGTGTGGTGGGGGCGTCCAGGGGGTCTGGGACAAGCAGAGCTGCCCGGCCAGAGGGAGGGAGGCAAGTGCTCCAAGGTGCTGCTGTGCTGGAAAGAGCGGGAAGAGGACCAGTGGCACCTCCCAGGGTCACTTTCCTCCCCACGGGGATTAACTGGAAGCTTTCTTCTGGCTTTGAAGGGAGCGGAAGAGCTGCCTCAGCTGGTTTTTCCGATCATTGACGCATCCTGGAAGGGAAGTGGGCTGTTAGCTGGGAGGGCCTGTCCTTGGTAGAGGAGGCATGGAGGGGCCCCGTGCTCCCACTTCCTAGAAGGAGGAAGGGAGGGCCCGCAGGAGCCGGGCAACCCCGGACAGCCTGTGGTTTTCATCCTGACTCCACTCCTGAACTGCACGGCCCTCAAACAGGTCATTCACCCCTGCATCTGTCAACCAGGGTACCTGCTTTGTGGAGTGAATGTAAGGATCACCAAAAAAAGGTAACATTCAACCCACGTGCTGGATGTGGATGTTCAGCCTTCACAGGAGTGACGTGTAGAAGAAAACTGAGGCTCAGACAGGTTAAGAAATTTGCTCCAAATCACACCGCAAGTGGCACTGAGACTGGAACCCAGATCTAGTTCCAGAGGCCACACCCTTTTTGTTTTTGAGAGAGTGTGTGAGCAGGGAAAGGGCAGGGGTGGGAGAGGGAATCCCAAGCAGGCTCTGCACTGTCAGCATAGACAGGCCAAGCTCTTAACCTTTTCTCTTGCTTTGCTTGGTGAAAACGCATTGCAGGCTAGCACAGTGCCTGGTACCTAAACGGTTAAACCCTTCAGCACTTCCTCTTATCCATGCTCCTCCCACCCCGACCAGCTTCCCTTGTACTCACACCCAGATACTCCACTGGAGGCTTGGGGATTGTTCTAGAGACTTCTAAAGCAGTGGCTCTCTACCTAGGCTGTGCTTTAGCGGCAACTGGGACCTTTTAAAAATCCTAAGGGCCAGACCAACTGTATCTTCACCTCCAGCAGGCATCCGTATTTTTGAAAGCTCCTGCACAATTCCTATAGCAGCCAAGCCAGAGAACCCCTGTTCTGGATCTTTGCGACTCAGACAGGGGCGGGGGCGGGGGGGGGGGGTAAGCAGCAGTGCTATCTGAGGCACATGGTGGGCCACTCTGGCCACAGCAACTCCTCCGTTCCTCTAGGCACGCCTGCCTGCAAGGTGACTCTGCTGCTCCTTGATCCGGTGGCGGGCTCCATTTCCTCGCCCTGTGAATCTGGGCTGGGGCAGCTTTGACTGATGGATTGTGACGGAAGGACACCACCACACTGTGGGACCTCTGAGCCTAGGCCTCGAGGGGCTCTGCTAGGTCTTCTCCCACCTTCTTGGAACATGAGACTACCCTGTTGAGAAGCCAGGGCAGGGCTGCTGGAGAATGAGGGGCCACCTGGAAAGAGAGGTCCCGCTGACAGCCAGCAGCAACCACCACCCGTGTGAATGAGGCTATTCTAGGCCATCGTGTCTCCGCGGATGGGCCGGGTGCCTGCAGCCCTATGAGTGACTCCAGCACTCTTTGAAGAATCAGCAAATAGGACAGTAGTTGTTCTTCTAAGCCTCTAGGTTTGGGGAGAGTTTGTTACACAGCAACTGTTAGCTAATAGAGCATCACCTCGGAGCTTGTTAGAAAGGCAGAATCTTAGGCCCCCCTCCCAGACCTACCGAATTCATAATCTGCCTTTTAACAAGATTTCCCGATGATTCCATATATGCACAGCAAAGCCTGAAAGCGCTGTATAGTCATCTTCCAACAACACAACGCGGCAAACACTAGGGAATCTGCCTTTCACAAACCCCCTCTCCTCCGCCTTCCTCAAGCGATTTAATCGACATTCCAGGCTTCCTTGTTTCTGGGGTGGTCACGTGACCCAGTTCTTGCCAGTAAGATGTCAGCCCTGGGAGGGTTTGCCTTTTGGAATAAAGAGTCAAATCTTGAAGGAAAAGCCTTGGCCCTTGGGCCTTCCTGCTTCTTCCCTGGGACAAGGACACAGTGTCTGGAGTAGGAGCAGCCATTTTGCAACCATGAGGCAACAAGCACGAGGACCAGGGCAACCTACTAAGCGTCACTGAGTGGAAAGAAGAAAGCACTGGGTCTCTGGGGCATTTTGCATCCATTGTGTTAGCCCTGTCTGGCCTACCCCAGGACATCCTATGGGTCAAGACAGATTGCTCCCTCTCTGTGTAACTATTATTTGGCTTTTCAGTTGCTTGCAGCCAAACTCAATCCTAAATCCTATCAAACCCTAAAATTGATTTAAAACTTCTTTTCATGAAACAAAAAGCGCCACTTAAATAAAATTTAGAAAACAAATAACAAATTCAGGAAAATATAAATAAGTTGACAGAGGGGTAATATCATCACTGTATTAATATCAAGGCCTTTATAAATTTAGAGAACAACCCACTGAAAAATACATAAAGAATATGGACACCTTGAAGAAACACAAAATTGAAAAATCTGAAACCTCCCCAGTAATCAATGGAATGCACATAAAACAAAAATACTTTTTTTACCTATCAATTTGACAAAGGTTTTTTTTGTTGTATTTTTTTTTATGATTTTTTAAATTCAGGACAGGCAAATTTGTGTAATCTTTCTAGAAAGCAATTTGGCTGTAATAAGTCCATCCCTTTGACCCAATACTTCTACCTCTAGGAATCTGTCCTAAAGAAATAGCCAGAATTTCAGCTGAGTTTTATGTGAGAGGATGTTCATCACAGCACGGCATTATTTATAAAAGTAAGAAATTGGAATCACACCAAATGCTCAATTATAAGAAATTGATTTAGGAAGGTTGACCTATATACAAGCTGGAATATTTTACTGCTGTATAGTAATTTTGTTTTTAACTGTGCTAAGAGGCAGGATTTTCTAGCAGCCAAGCATTCAGGTTTTAGAGGAAGAGAGATTGGGGTTCAAGTCCTCACCACTTATAACTGGGACCTTCAGCAAGTTACGTAACATCTGGAGACCATTTCCCCATCCATAAAATGATAGAAACTGCCTAAAAATGAACTAATGTATGGAAAGCTTGGACCTGGCCAAAAAAGTGTTTCCTAAAGAAAGGCTCTTATTAATATTGTTGAATGACATGAAATGTGCTACGTGGAAAAGTGGGACTCAAAATTCCAGCCCAATGCCAATTTTGTAAAGAAAAAGTATAAATATATACATTTTTTAAAAACTGGAAGGGAATACAACAGATTGTTAAAGTTGGTTCTGTCTGGACAGTTTTTTATTCCCTTTCAGTTTTCAAATGCTCTACAAGGAGTGAATAATTTTTATAATCAAGAAAATGTTTCTCTTTTTCAAAACTAAGTTTAAAGTCAAACCCTGAATTTCTTTTGCTATATTGTACATCTTTGGGGGTTGCTTTCCAGCTAAGCCTTTTGAAATCTACCTCCTGATAGTGTCTCTTGCTATGTGCCAGGTGGTGTTCTAGGCATATATTGAGATAAAAACTCTTCAATCTCCATTTTACAGATGAGGAACAGAGAGGTTAAGCCCTTGCCCAAGATCACACAGCTGGTAAATTGCAGATCAAATTAAAGCAGTCTAACCACTGCGCCAACCTGCCTCCGAGACTGCCTGGCTTCTCTCATGACACATGCCCCGTGCCCACGCCCCACCTGGCCCCACTTACCGAGGTGTGTGTTGGTCACAAAATTCCCCAGCCCCGACAGGTCAGGAACCCCCTCTTCTCTGCTGACAGGGCCATCATTCCACATGAGGTCAAAGCCTCCCACTCGCTTCTCCCTTCCTGTGAGCCTGGACGGGCAGGAGATACACGGGGGTAATGAAGGTGCACCTGGTGAAGCCTAAGACCCAGGCCAGGCCCCCGATCCCTCCCCGCACCCTATAGGTGCCCACGCTGTCAGAATTTCTTCTTTTGCCCACCCATTTCCCAGGTCTCAGGGGGGTCATCTCCCATACTGTCCCCAGTTGGACCAGGACCCAATCCTGTGTGGACATCTCAGTTTGTCCATCTGTAAAATGGTGAGCAGGCCTGAACCATCTCTAAGGGCCACTCAGGTCCAGGGTTCTGAGTTGTCCACCTTCCTTGATAGGAGCCCCAGCTGTCACACATGGGTGCCTGAGCGAGGCTGCCTTGCCCCACCTGGCCTCCATGTCCACGACATGCAGGGTGTCCTCCAGGAGGCAGGTCTTGAGCTCATAGTCCTCCTGGCTGCTCGCTGTCAGCGATGGGGATGCATTGACCTCTAGGAGCCACCTGGGGAAGGAGGGAAAAGGAGAGCCTTAGGGTTACCTGGTCCCTGGGGACCCTGGAATCTCCCTGAGAGGCTAGCTTGGGTGCCTGGGCCTAACCCTCAATTCCACCAAGGTTGCTATCTCCGTTTTTCCACTAGAAGAAAGGTTTCAGTGGCTAAAACGTTTTTGAAAAACAGTCATCACAAACTTGAAATCCCTGCAGGGACAGGGCGGTACACAAATGAGGCAAGCTGGAGGGGGTGGAATGATCTGGGTGCCCTCATACTGCTTTCCTTCTTCCAAAAGAGCTGTGCATACAAGACAGACTCCCCTTTCCTAGTGAGCTTTTGCCTGTGGGGGGCAATGGCTGCTGGGGGTGGCAGAAGCTGGGAGGGGTGGACAGTGGTGAAGAGCATTCCAGTCTATTTTTTTTTTTTAATTTTTAATGTTTATTTGTGAGCGAGTGAGAGAGAGACAGAGAGAGAGACAGAGACAGAATATGAGCAGGGGAGGGTCAGAGAGAGAGAGGGAGACACAGAATCCAAAGCAGGCTCCAGGCTCTGAGCTGTCAGCACAGAGCCCGATGCGGGGCTCAAACCCGTAAGATCATGACCTGAGCCAAAGTCGGATGCTCAACTGACTGAGCCACCCAGACATGCCACGGGTGCACCAAATTCTTGACAGGAAGTGACATGGTAGAACTATTCCCTTACGTGGCACTTTGCATCCTGAGAGCAGCAGGCCTGATGGAGAAGTTTCTTGCCTGGTACTCGGGAAGGAGCATGGGCTCAGCACATGTTCAGGAAAGGTCTCTTAGTGCCAGGCATGGGGTTCAGTGCTTTACAGAAAATACCTCTTTTATTCTTCATAGTGATTCTATAGGCACAATGTCCATTTTATAGATGGGCAAACTGAGGCACAGAACTAGCAGTGGCAGAGATCAAACATGGGCAGTCGGGGTGCAGAGTGTGTGAAACGCTACCCCCCCATGCCCTGCCCGGGCTGCCAGCTCGCCAACTTACGGTTTGAGGTCCTGGTCTATGAGGATATCATAGCCATACAGCTCAAAGCAGTGCTTGTCACTGATGATCACCTTCTGCACGCTCTGCAGGCTCCGGATGAAGATGTTGTCCATGTCGCTGAAGAGCGTCTCCACTGCCTCTGGCCCGTGCTTGGACGCCAGGTACTGGCGGAAGCGCTGCAGCATCCACTTGCAGCCCTGTGGCCCCAAGCGCCCAGTGAGGGGTGGGAGAGGGGGCCTCCATTAACCGGGACCCAGCCAGCTGGGACCCCCCTCAAACAATCCCTATTAGCATGGGCCTTGGGTTTGGACAAGGGGGTCCCAGACCTGAGTCCTAGGATTAGGACTCTGAGTTTGTCCCACTTGCAGGGGAAAGCTACTGCCTGCCCGGGGGAGGGGGCGGCTGTGCCCACCCAGAGCCTGTGCCCCTCTTTCTAGAACACAGCCTGAGTACCCAGGCCCCCAGAAGGCACTGCCTGAACACCCTACACAGGTCTCTTCCCTCAGCCTGCCTTCCTGGGGACAGACTGCCCTCTGAGGCCCAAAGATGACCTACTGAATACTGTTTCCAGGGAGCTAGGGGTGTGTTTATGCGGGAGGCCCCCCACTGTGTAGGGGAGGGCTGGGGGAGGGAAAAGGAGTGGGTGTGAAATGGAGGCCAGCTCTCCCTGTGCCCCTCTGTTCTGGCTCTTAACTCTGAGAAGTCAGAATTCTAAACTTGAACATGGCCTATAGGTTATTAGATAGATAAATGGATGGATGGATGATAGATACAGAGATAGATAGATAGATAGATAGATAGATAGATAGATAGATAGATAGATGATAGATAGATAGACAGACATACTTATCAAGGTAGGAGGATAGAACACATTTTGTTATTTTGTTACAGGGTGTGTGTCTTTGATCTGTAACTTTTAACTATTCAGACACTTGATGTATAGGCCTCTGTCTGTACTCTTGCAAACTGGAAGGGTAGCCCTGACCTCACTAATAAACTAGAACTATGAGCCCAAGATAGGCCTGTCCTGGGCTCCTTGATGTTCCATCCCTCCCCCAAACCCAGTCCCAGAAGGCTGGCCCTGGAGGCCACAAGGGCAGCTTCCTCACCTTCTTCGGATGGTAGTCAGGAGAGGTCTTTTGCACAGCGACGTTGGTGAGGTGCACATCTGGGAGATGGTAGGTGGTCAAGGGCAAGTGCGAACAAGAAGGGGGGCGAGCCCTGTTCCATGGAACCCCTGGAGACCAAACTGAGACTTTTGCTTGGACATTGATGAGGAAGGTGACACAATAGCCCAGACATCACGTATGTGGGCCTTGGGTTCAGATGGGCCTGGGTTCAAATCCCACCTGTGCCTTTTATGGGCTGCGTGCCCCGGAGCCAGTCACTTAACCCCTGAGCCTGTTTCCCCACCTATTAAGTGGGGGTGCTTAGGTGGGGGAAACAGGCAAAGAGTAAGCCAACAATCAAAACCAGTCTGTACAGAAGTGGAGATGATTAGTTATGAAATCTTTCGGCGGGAATTTTTTTTAGCTTAAAAACAACAAGAGAAATCACAGAGGAAGTCAGTGGATAAGCCAACAATGTAAAAATAAAACTAATCAGACATCAGGGCAAGAATGAAAAGCAAGCATGACTAGACAAAAGATTTGTAGCAAATATGACAGACTAATGTTTTTGTCAGATGAAAATTCCACATAAATTGTTAACAATAAAAAGTTATGACCCTAAGAGATACAAGATAGAGGGGGTGTGAAAACATCAGGGAAAACATTAACTACTAAAAGACCATCTGGGAAAATGCCTAAAGTTTCTAGTAATAGAAGAAACATAATTTTAAAGGGATGTAAATGGGTGGGGGGCGCCTGGGTGGCTCGGTTGGTGAAGCGTCCGACTTTGGCTCAGGTCATGATCTCAAGGTTCCTGAGTTCAGCCCCGCATTGGGCTCTGTGCTGACAGCTCAGAGCCTAGATCCTGCTTCGGATTCTGTGTCTCCCTCTCTCTGTCCCTCCCCTGCTCACGCTCTGTTTCTCTCTCAAAACTAAATAAACATTAAAAACAATTAAGAAACAATAAATAAAAGGATGTAAATGGGGAAGAAGTACAAATTGGAAGAAATGCAAATTATAAGGCAAAATCTTGCTTCCCCATTAAGTCAGTTACATATGTTTTAACCTTTTTATTTGGAAAAGCTCAAAACTCACAGAATCGTTGCAAGTATAATGAATGCCCATATATGCTTCATCTACATGTGCTAATTATTTTAGAAATGTCTTTTTAATTTTTTAATGTTTATTTATTTTTGAGAAAGAGAGAAAGACAGAGCGTGAGTCAGGGAGGGGCAGAGAGAGAGGGAGACACAGAATCGGAAATAGCTCCAGGCTCTGAGCTGTGAGCACAGAGACTGACACAGGGCTCAAACCCACAAACCATGAGATGACGACCTGAGCTGATGTTGGACGCTCAACCGACTGAGCCACCCAGACGCCCCTAGAAATGTCTTTTTTAATGATTGTCCTCATGGGCCCTGGGTGGCTCAGTCAGCTGAGCGTCTGACTCTCGGTTTCTGCTCAGGTCATGATTTCACGGTTCATGGGATCACACCCCTGTCGTGCTCTGCACTGACAGCTCAGACAGAGCCTGCTTGGGTTTTTCTCTGTCCCTCTCTCTCTCTGCCCCTCCCCTGATCACATGTGCTCTAAATAAATAAATAAATAAACTTTTTATTTTGTTTTTAAGTCCCAAACTGTTTGAAAAAATAAAATAAAATGATTGTCTTCAGCATGGAGAGCTGGGATGAAATGGGTCCTGTCAATGGAAAGGTAAAAATACAAAAGAACCTTCTGTAAAACAATCTGGCCATGTACCCTTGTCCCAGGACTTACGCCTCTGCAATGTCATCTGAAGGGAAACATTTAAATACAGTAAAAGATTTATGCAACTATGTTTCTTTCCAGCAGTTGTGCATCATAATTGGAGGAAACCGAATACCTCCCAAATGCTTTATTAATGTGAAGGATTAATAAAGCAGTAAGTCTACCTGGTGGAATACTTTGTAACTAACAAAAATGTCTACAAAGAAAATACTGGTATGTGTAGTGAAAAAAAGTTATGTTTATACAGTTGAGATCACTCCTTCGTAAAATGCAACAATAACAACCACGAACCAACCGTACAAAGGAAGCTGGGAGGAAATACGTCAGGGTAAGTGCTTTTCTCTAGAAAATATGAACAAAGAAGGCTTCTTTTCTTTTCTTCTTGTCTTTTTGGCACATTTTCTGAATTTTCTGGTTTGCCTTTAAACAGCTCTACTACTTCTATTGTGAAAGCTATACTCTTTCCGTGTTTTATTGTTTTTACTATTAAAGTACTCCCTAATGGTTGTAAAAACAATTCGTAACGTAGGAAAACGTGTAAAGTTGAAAACAAACGTTCCTGGCCTGATTCTAATCCTCCTTGAGGTTCAGAGTTAATAAATCAGTGAACAACCTTTCTTACCGTCTTCTGAACAGAAACAGGGTTCCATAAAAGCAAAACTAGGATTATAAACATACCAGGTCTGTACCTGTATTTTGTTTTTCATTTTAATAGTCTATTTTAGATACCTCTCCATGATATTTCGATTGACCTCATTATAACAGCTGTGTAATAGCAGGTAGATGCTTTATCATTCATTTTGCCATCCTTCAAGGGCGTTTTAACTTGTTCCTGTTTATTAGTACTGTATTGTCATTATTTTTATATTTTATGTGTGTACATATATGCATATAAATTTGAATACCTCTATGTGAACTATATATAAAAATGTAAATCTCTATATTTAAGGTCAGGTTAAAATGTCTTATTACTTTATGATCCAAAGTTGCTTTATTATTTTAAAAGTTGGTGCATAATATATGAAACAAATACAGCAAACTATTAATACTTGTTAAATCTGGATGGTAAATGCCTGGATTTCTCTTATAGTCTTTTTTCTGCATTTTTGTATATATTTGAAATATTTCAACTTTTAAGACTTAAAAGAGGTTGTGGAAGGGGCGCCTAGGTGGCTTAGTCGGTTAAGCGTCCGACTTTCGCTTAGGTCATGATCTCATGGTTCGTGGGTTCGAGCCCTGCGTCGGGCTCTGTGCTGACTGCCAGCTCAGAGCCTGGAGGCTGTTTCAGTCTGTGTCTCCCTCTCTCTCTGGCCCTCCCCTGCTCACGCTCTCTCTCTCTCTCTCTCCTAGAAATAAATAAAAATATTTAAAAAAAAAAAAAGAGGTTGTGGAAAATCATGTCTATTCACTCACTGTGGAAACAGCAAAGCCTTGTTCACTAGAAGCTAGTCCTGGGAGAGGCCAGGGTCTGTTTAACAGGCCCCACGACCCGAGATACACACACACTTTTAAGTAGGGAAGAAGGGACCACTCACTCTGCACTGGCCACTGTCCTAAGGGTTTTACAGGTGTCATTTAATCTTAACAAAACACACAGTGGTCAAAAGATAAAACTACAATAAATGGTAATTTGCATATGTTAAATGCTTGCTAGAATTACAAAATTAAACAAACTACTTAAAATGCTAAAGTTGGGAAAATCGGTGGGGGCGGTGGGAATTGTAGGAAATATTCAGCAGGGTGACTCCCATTCGCACATGCAGGCAACGCACATGCATGAGCTTGGGACTGACGTAATCGAGGGACAAAACTAAGGCAGAGGGAATGGGAACTGGCTGGAAGCATCAGCGGCGCTTCCTGAGCTAGACGCTCAGCAGCGGAAGCACCTTCCATTTACTTCTCTCCCGCATGCCTGTAATCCAGTCCTGCTGATCTATCATCTCTCCGTTTCTGGATTGTCGACCCCATTTGCTTCTGATGCTCACGTCTAAAAATCTTATGTTTATTTATTTTTGAGACAGAGAGAAACAGAGCCTGAGTTGGGGAGGGGCACAGAGAGAGGGAGACACAGACTCTGAAGCAGACTCCAGGCTCTGAGCTGTCGGCACAGAGCCCGATGGGGGGCTTGAACCCACAAACTGTGAGATCATGACCTGAGCCGAAGTCGGACGCTTAACCAACGGAGTCACCCAGGCGCTCCTGATGTCAGTATTCTAACCAGATAATACACTCGTGTGGTTCAAAAGTCAAAAACCATCAAAATGTGTCTGAGGAACTATCTCCTCCCCACCCGTCCCCACCCGCCCAGTTCTCATCCCAAAGGCAACTTCTGCTCCCAATTTCTTGTATTTCCTTCCAGAGATGCCTGCTCACAGATACAAACATATATAGAGATACAATTTGTAACATGAATGGAAGTGTACTTTTCAGAGTTCTATACTTTGTTCTTTTCCAATTAACAATATGTCGCCAAGATGATTTCATATCTATACATAAAGCACGGCCCTATTCCTTTTTAACAGCTGCATAGTATTCCATTGTATAAATGAGCTGTTTCATTATTTCCTCTTTTTTCTTCCTCTCTATGACAAACAAGGCTGAGCAGTGCATAGCCTTTAAAACTCTCTTTTCCTATACTGTGAGTGTACATGTAGGGTAAATTCTCAGAAGGGAATTGGCTGAGTCAGAGGGTATGTGCTTTTGTCTTTTGATAGACATTTGCCAGATTGCTTCTGAAGCGGTTGTACCGACTTGCACGCCACCAGCGACACACGCATTCCCCCAGCCTCACCAACATAGTGTGTTGTCGTATTTTTGGCCTCTGCCAGTTCGATGGGTAAAGAGGGCATGGTGTCTGAGTGAATGTGTGAGCCAATGTGCAGGCACAGGAAAGGACGCAAACATTCTCCAAAGGGGCCCGAGCTCTCCCATCCTGTGAATATGAATTGATGTGAATGGCAGGCAGGCCACCAAGATGGTCATCCAGTAGAGCAGTTTGGGGTGAGCTGCTCTGAGCAGAGCGGGGCTGCTCCCCTGGGTATCAGTGGGGGCTCCCCCCAGCCCCACAAGGCTGTCAGCTCCCGGAGGGAAGCACCAGGCCCATCTTGTTCCCTGCTGTGTCTCCATGCCCAGACCACAGCTTGGCACTCTGTGGAATGAATAAGTGCTCCCTGAACAGCTGGGGGAGGGGGAGGAGCAGGGCACACGGGGGAGAGGGAGGCTTGGATCCAAGGATACACTGGTCATCAATGCTGCTCAGTGTGAAGCGGGTGTTGGAGAATCGGGCGAAGCCATCCCGGTACAGCCAGGCCCGCAGCGGGAGGTACTATGTCCGGGAGGGCAAGGACAGAGAGGAAGGGGAGGGGGTGAACGCGAGCCACCTGCCCCTCCTAGATTTTGCGCCTGCTGTTTCTTCCACCTGGAGTGTCCTTCCTTCCTTCTCACATCACCCCTCAGTCCAAACAGCCTCCAATGATTCTACCCCCTCCCTGGTGTTGGGGGTGGAGAGCAGATGCAGAAGGGAACAGAATGAACGAGACTCTTCTCTGCTGCACCACCATGTGCGACCCCCCTCATGCTCCCCACCAGACGGTCAACTCCAGGAGCACAGGGGCCGAGCCTGCCTCCCATGCCCCTACGTCCTTGGGCCGCACAGGGAGGAGCACCTCATGAAGGTCTGAATGATTGTTGAATGAATGGGTGGGGGTGGGCAGGGTAGCAGCTCCTAGTCTGAGAGTAGACACCGGCACTAGGCTGCCTGGATTCAAACCCCAGCTCTGTCCGTCACCTGTGTGTGATCTCGGGCAAGTCACTCAACCCCTCTGATTCTGTTTCCTCACCTGGAAAACGAAGATAATGATAGAACCTACATCTCTGGTTATTAGGAGGACCGAGTGAAATAAAACCTGCTGAATACCAGGGCTTGGTACTTAGGAAGTGCTCAGAATGGGTTAGCTGCGGTTACCATGGATGGCTGAGTGGATAAGGGACAGGTGGACGGCAAATCCGGACTCTGGGGTTTCTGAGATGGCAGAAGTGGGATCGGTTTACCTGCCCCCGCCTTACTCTCAGACGCCCCCTGGGCTCTCCAGGCAGGCAAAATCAGACAGGCTCACATAGGCGCCCCCCCACCCAGAATGGCTTCTGCCCCCCCCCACCTCCCCCGCCATCTCCCAGCGCTCTTTCTTCCTTACCTGCTGCTGGAGGAGGACCCCGTCTTAGCTACTCACCGACATCACCAGCACGTAGACGCGCAGGTCAAACTTGCGGCCTGTCAGACAAGGAAAGAACCCATGCAACACCGACTGACTGCGTGCCAGGCACCCTGCTAGTTTGGGGGTTAGAGCAGTGGAGATGCAGAGGCAAATGCTAGTAAACGCACACGAGGTACAAGGAGAGGGTGACGGGTGGGGAGGGGTTAATGAGGGGGAAAGGCTGCAGACACAGGGTGGAGGAAGGCTTCGTGGAGAAGTGGGGACCTAGAGGAAGAGAGGTGCCCCCTAGGCCAGAGGGGGTGGGCCTCGGGGCAGGGGGAACCGCCTGAGCAGAGAGCCCGGAGGGGGCAGAAGGCTTGGTCCAAGGGCAGAGTGGAAGGAGATGAGGTCACTGAGGTCAGATCATGCGCAGTTTTTGGATTTCGTTTTAACAACAGTGGGAAGCCACTGAGGGGTGCCTTGTCCCCCTGGCGGCTGTGCTGGAGCGGAGCACGGGGGACCAGGGCAGCAGTGGGCATGGGTGAGGTCGGGAGGGACAGTGGCCAGAGCCACGATGGAGATGCTCGCATGGATTCAAGAGCGCGTGGGAGCTTGAAGGAGATCAGACAAGGTGGGGGAAGAGAGGTCTCCGACCTCTGGCTTAGCAACCAGGGGCCGGAGGGGCTGTGTCCCGATGGGAAGGCTGGGGAATGAGCCCCATGGCAGGGGAGGGCGAGGGTTGGATCTCAGGCATGTTGGGCTTGAGTTGCCGGGAGGTGCCCGAGGGTTTGTGGGACATCAGGATCTGGCTATCGGGATGAGGTCCTGGCTGGAGACAGCGAGCTGGGAGGTCACTGGCATCTGGGGGTGTTGAAAACCACGAGAGAGGATGGGGTCACTGGGGGAGGGAAGGGAGACGTTTCTGAGGCGGTGAGAGGAGCCAAGTGGCGGACACTGTTCTGGGCAGAGACAGCCACCTCACCTCCAATGAGGTAGGGATTTTCGATATAGCGCTGAGCTACGTAGTTCTCCACGGGGATTTCATCCCTCTGGTCATCAGAACCTCTTGCGTCCTGGTTGTAACAATAACTATTATTAACATTCACGGAGCATTTCCAGTGCAGGAGGCACTGCGCCAGGCACTCTCCTCGGGGTATATCGTTTGGTCTTTAAATCAACCCTATCAGGAAAGGACTAATGTTATCCCCCATTTTACAGATGAGCAAACTGAAGCAGAGAGGGGGAGTGACTTGCCCAAGGTCACACAGCTGCTCCTTGGCACAGCTGGGGGCGGGGACCCTCAGGCTGGGCCCAGAGCTTCCACATTTAACCTCTAGACCTGTGCTGTCTATTTACATTTAAACAGATTAAAAATAAGTGAATTTAAATGCCATCAAGTGGATGATCCTTGAAGCCATTACGCTAAGTGAAATAAGCCAGACACAGAAGGACAAATACTGCGTGAGTCCATTTAGATGAGGCGTCAGATCCACAGAGACAGAAAGTAGAAGAGTGGTTACCAGGGGCTGGGCTGTGGGGGTGGGGGGGCAGGTTCTGGGAAGCAGGGAGTTAGTGTTTCATGGGGACAGAGTTCTGGAAGCGGATGAGAGTTCTGTAGGTGGATGGCAGTGCTGGTTACACGTAATGCCACTAAATTATATACTTTAGAAGCCGTTAAAATGGTAAATGCTATGTAGATAAAAAAAAAAAAGAAAGAAAGAAAAGAAATGTAAAATCCAGTCCTTGAGGGACACCAGCTGCTTTTCAGGTGCTCAGCGTCAGCCGTTGCTAGTGGTCCCCATACCGGAGAGCACAGGCCCACACCATTCCACCTCTGTGGAAAGTTCCATTGGTCTGTGCTGCCTAGAGCACCATACAGGTGCCTCTCCCTTCTCTGCCTGCGAATTCTTTCCTGGCCAGCCCAGCAATGCTCTCTCTCACACCTCTAACGGTACGGTCCGCAAAGCCCTTCCTCAGCCACTGCCCCCTTCACAGCAACCTTGTGAGAAAACTGAGGCCCAAAGGCAAGTGGCAAACACTTGGTGAGGTCACACACGATGGCCCGGTGGCAGGGAGCCCCTGGGACCCCAGGGCAGAATTTTCTACACCTACTATCACACATACCTCCACCCCACCCCCCAGCCTCTACCACCAAGCTGCTTCAAGACAGAGGTAACCAGGCCGTCCCCTCCTGGGCCCCGGGGGCCACCTAGCACCTGTACTCACATGGCCGCCACACGGATTGACAGTGCCCCGGGCTGGCTGGGCCTCTGAGCTGGTGAGCTTCTTCCCGGCAGTACCCTGATGGTTCCATGCGAGGAAGCAGACACACAGACGAGGGGAGAATTCATTTACTGAGCACCTGCTCATGCGGCAGGTGCTGGTTGTGTAGCACCATTATCGTCTCTAAAGTTCAGAGGGGGTCAGCAGTTTTCCCAAGGCCACACAGCGGCTGAGTGGCGGAGGCAGGATCGGAACCGGGATCTCTACTACACCGCATCCTGGGATAAGGAGGGGTCGTGGGGAGAGGGGCGCAGCCTGGGATTTGCAGAGTCAGCCAAGCTCTCCCCAACCAGGTGAGCAGGAGACCCAGGTACAGAGGCAATGTTCTCGGGTTTTAGGCATAGTAACTCATCCTCAGTGGGTACTATCACTACTATCCCCCATTTACGTGGGCACAGAGAGGTGAAGTATCTTGCCCAGGGTCACACAGCTTTTAAGGGGCAAAATCAAGATTTGAACCCAGGCAGTCTGGCTTCAGGGACCCTCCTTTGCCATCCCTCCAAGATTTGAAGGAGGGAAGGAGGGGCCCCTCATTGCAGCAAGGGCAGAGGGAGATTTCAGGAGCAAGGGGGAGAGGTAAGCTTACCTTCCTCCAGTCCATGATGTCCTTCAGCCTCCGGAAGAGGAAGATGCCCTTTCCCTGTGACCGGGCTACCTGGGGTGGGGGTGAGGGCAGAAAGGTCCGCTCTCAGCTCTGTGTGATTCTTTGTTGTCCCCTGTGCCTGGGGCACCTCCCCCCCATTTTTCAGTCTCTGTCCCATGGGCTTCCAGCTATCCCCAGAGGAATGGCCCAGCCCAGCCCCAAGGGACCAGCCACAGAGAACGCACTAAGCCTGGCTGGCGGGAGGGAGAGAGGCAAGCGGAGAGGAAAGAGAGAAGCCGACTTAGCTCACAAAGGCATACAATGGCATGAATAATACAAAAGAGCAGACAATTAAAAAACCATTTCTAACAGTCTTGGGAACACATCATCCAATTCTTTTTTTGGAAATCAATTTGCCTCCCTAATTAGGTTTTGCTTCAGCTAATACTGATCAGTCTGCCTTTACTGAATCCCAGTATGGATAATTCATGGCTTCACAGAGTCCAGGGGCTGGAAAGATCTTTAATATCATGCAGAGCAGTCAGCACCAATGGCATTACTCCCCCTGTGAAATCCCTCAGTAATGGTCACCTGCCAGGGAGCTCGCTACCCTCCCCCTACCTCCTGATGCAGCTCATTTGTTGCAGGATTGCTCTATTAAGCAGTCATCCCAAAGGTATACATGAGGTGACTACTGTGTGCTAGGCATTATGCTATAGCAGTGACCCAGGTTTCAGGGAGCTTTCACAGCCTAACCTGTGTGGAGATAAAATTTGCCAGCCTGGCTCTTGCCCGTAGGGCTTTCTAAAACAAACCTGACTCCTGGGCCCCAGAGCAGCCCCTTGGGTGATCTGGATCCCCTCAAGTCGTCTTTTCTCTGGCATGAAGGCACCCAGGGAATGCAAACTCTCATTTCCCTCTGTTCTTCTCTGCGCATGGCCAAGTCGGTCGATGTGATGCTCTCTGTACAATGTAGGGGCAGGCAGGGCTGTTGGGCGTGGCTGGGCAGGCTGTCCACAGGGCTCCCCGTCATGGGGGCAGCAGGAGCTGAGACCCAGCCCTTCTCTGCCTGCTGTGCTGTGCGGCTGATTCGGGGTTGTGCACCCCCAGAAGATGGGGTGCCCTCAAGACCTTGGGAGTACTGGTAGTCAGTGCGCATCAAGGGCTTCCCACAGTTCACAGCCACACGGCAGACTTATGTTCACTTCATGTAGAAAGAGATGACCCAGCGTAAACCATGAAGAGTCCCTCCACTTCACTAGCCCTACAGAAGTGCAGACGAACACCCCAAGAGGATGCCACTCCACGCTCCCTGAGAGCGGTGACAACTAAAGACAGACGACAGCACGTGTTGGCGAGGTGGCGGAGAAACCGGAGCTCACAACTGCTGGTGGGCGTGCACATTGTTTGGAAACGGGCAGCCTCCACTACAGCTGAACAGAGGCACCTGCTCTGAGCCAGCAATTCCTCTCCTGGGCCACCCACCCGGCAGAAACCCCGGGCACCCGTGGACACATGCAGGACATGTGGCAGACGATTCACAATAACTCCAACCTTGAAAATCCCAAGTGGACAAAAACGCACTCAATGGGATGGTATCTACATCAGTGATGATCAAAACTGCATGGACCGCAGTGCGGATGAATCTCCTGAACACAGTGCTGAGGGAGAGAAAGCAGATGCAGCGGAGCCATAGCACACGATTCCAGTTACACAAAGTAACAAAGCAGACAAATGAATCTATGCTGTTAGGGACCCAGGGGGTCATGAGTGGGAGAGGGTCGGAAGGGAGCTGGGTGCTTGTTATGTAAGTGTGCCCGCCTCATGAAATTGACCAAGCTGTGCCCCTGTAATCGGGGCATATTCTGTTTACTAAACTTCAATTAAGAAGTCTTTCCTGGGGCGCCTGGGTGGCTTGGTTGGTTGAGCGTCCGACTTCGGCTCAGGTCATGATCTCGCAGTTCGTGGGTTCGAGCCCCGTGTCCAGCTCTGTGCTGACAGCCGGCTCAGAGCCCGGAGCCTATTTCAGATTCTGTGCCTCCCTCTCTCTCTGACCCTCCCTTGCTCGCTCTCTCTCTCTCTCTCTCTCTCTCTCTCAGAAATAAATAAAACATTTTTAAAAAAGAAGTCTTTTTTAAGGTTCCTGCCTTTGGATCTAGGACCCCCCCCTCACCCCTCCACCTTTGTTGGCTGCCTTCCCTATAGCCATTCCCCTTCCTTCTGGAAAGACCAGACACCTGTGTTGTCAGCCTCCCATGCAGCTCTCTGGAACCATGCGACTAGTTTTGGTCAATGAGACCTAAAGAGGTATCTGCCTGAGGCTCTGAGGCTTCTGAGAACTATTTTCTTCCTTCTTAACAATATTGGGGTGGGTGCCTGGGTGGCTCAGTTGGTTAAGGGTCTGACTCTTGATTTTGGCTCAGGTCATGATCTCATGGTTCATGAGATCGAGCCCTGTGTCAGGCTCTGCACTGACAGAACGGAGCCTGCTTGGGATTCCCTCTCTCTCTCTCTCTCTCTCTCTCTGCCCCACCTCCCCTCTCAAAATAAATAAATAAACATTTTAAAAATATGTTGGGGTTGAGGAGGAGGAGAAAGAGAGGGAGGGAGCAAGAGAGGAAAGGAGAGAGAGAAAGAGATGTTGGCTCCTTTCCTTCTTTCTTTGAATGCTACAGTCTGGGGAGGTGAGGCAGACAACCGTCACCAAGGAGGTGATGAGCCTGACAGAGGAAAGCCAATAGCTGAGGATGCAGAGTGATGATAGATAAGAAAGATGAGGAATGTGGGCTTTTCATAGCATCACTGAGCACATCCCCAAACCTGGAGCTTCCTGGAACTCTGGCTTTCTTGTTATCTGAGATGATAAAAATGCCTTCATTGTTTGAAGCATCGCTACTATACTAGCAAACATGCCTGATCCAGGAGATGCCCTCCTAAGGGAATAACCCTCAGAGTGAAAAGTAAACTTCCTGCCTGGTGATATACCGGGGTTGTCGAGACGGGAAATCACCTACTACCTAGCTCCAGCAGACCGTAGTTTCCAAAACCATTCACGAAAATGTCTCCAGTCCCATACATGCTGCCCAAACTAGAGCTCACCAGCTAATAAATAAGACAGGATTTTCATTTCAGGCCACTGAACTTTGGGGCATGGGGACAGAACCAGAACACTAACTTTAGGGGAATGGTTTCTAAGAGGAGCCGCTAAGATGTTTCCTGCGTGCCAGGCACAAAGATTTACACGCATCAGCTCCTTAAAGCTCGGCAAAAAAAAAATCTTCTCTGTAGGCATTAACATCATCCCCATTTTGCAGCCAAGGAAACCAAGGAACAAGGCCAATCACTCTGTTCAAGGTTACCCGGCCGGTAGGTGACAACCCCAGGGAGTTAAATCTGTGCTTCTCAAGACGGAAACGCATGTTCCTCCTGCCACGTGCCGGGGCGTCCCCAAAATCACATGGTCAGCATGGTCCTGCCCCCCGGGAGTATCAGTCTTGCTTGATAATCTGGGAGTAAGTTATATTATTTTTATGAAAAGATATGTTTTCAGTTGGAAAATAATATGAATGGATTATTGGAATGAGCCATACTTAGATTTTGTACCACCTGTGGCCATTCATGGTCCTCAACACGCTGGCCCTGGGGGTCATTTCTCATGAGACATTCATTGTGTGGCATTCGTTGGGTGTTACAGACGTAGTTGGTGGTCTACTCAGCAACGACGAGTAGGGGGAAAAAATTCCCTTTTTTCTCTGCCGACAGAACCCCATTTGGGTATTTGTTTGCTTGTTTTTTAAGGTAAGCTCTACACCAGACATGGGGATTGTATTCACGACCCTGAGATCAAGAATTACAAGTTCTACCGACGGAGCCAGCCAGGCGCTCCCAACCGAACCTCACTTGGATCACCTCTTCCTGGTGGCCCTGTCCTCTGCGAGGTCTGATGCCTGTGATGGTCCCATGCCCCCACCATGTGACCGGTTCAGCCAGGGCCAGCAGGATGCCAGCAGAAGTCTACTGCGGTGACCTCCGGGAAGTTTGTGTCTCCTTCAAAAGGGACACCAGACCAGGGTGTTCCTTCAATCCTGCGGCAATAGTGGAGGCGTGAGGTGGTGAAGCTAGAGCTTGGCAGCCACATTTTGACCAAGAGGAGCAGCCAGCCCAACGGGGTGGGAGCCAGTGATGACGTCCAACTGTCCGGTGATGTTGAAACGGCCCCTGAGTCGACTTTTCATCGGTAAGGGAAATGTCCTGGGGTCTGTAAACTTGAATGCGAAGAAAATTTTTCATCCTAACCAGATTTTCCCACCGCGTTCCATTATGAAGGTGGACAACAAATCCTAGTGGTATCAGCCACGCCTGTGATTTTGCTTTCAAAAGAAATCTTGGATATTTTTAGATCACATTACAGTCGCAGGCATCTCAAAGTATTGTTTCAGCTCCTGGTGACTTTGAAATTATGGTGACAATGGGGCCTGCTGTTAGACTCTCTTACATTGACGATGAAAAGCACATATGTTGCTACTGCATTAAAAACATTTAATAGTTTGCGTGGCCGTTGTGAGAAGACACTGCAGTCCACGCTGCGCTTGTGGGGCCCCGCCTGCAGGGGCCGCTCTTGCCACCGACTGAGAACCGAGGGGGACTTGAGGGCTGGCCCACCCCTGGGAGACAGGAGCCTCCTCTGGCTTGAGGCCTCCCCCAGGCCTTGCTGACCAGCCTCTGGATGTTGCTCTTCCTTCCCCCTCTCCCTCGCTGGGGTCTGACGGCCGCCCCAGCTCCCTCCACTCCCTCCCCGTTTCTCACAGGCAAAACTCCCAGCATGCTCGTCTCTGTTTCTCAGAGGACCCAGACTAACCGTCTGATAACTGTTTTCTCAGTAGACTTCCTTCTTTTTATAACCAAACTATTTTATTCTTTTAAACACATTATTTTGTGGGGCGCCTGGGTGGCTCAGTTGGTTGAGTACTGACTTCAGCTCAGGTCATGATCTCACTCTTTGTGAGTTCGAGCCCCGCGTCGGGCTCTGTACCAACAGCTCAGAGCCTGGAGCCTGCTTCAGATCCTGTCTCCCCTCTCTCTGCCCCTCCCCTTCTCACGCTCTGTTTCTCTCTCTCTCAAATATTAAAAATAAATAAACAAACACATGATTTTGTGACTGTGTGAAACATGATTTCTACCAGATGCCAATGAGGCCCAAGGGAGGAGAATAGTTCAGAGGCCCTGCCCTCTCATTTGGGGCCCCCTTTAGCTGTGATTTCTGTTATTTACTGCCCAAGGCATCTCCCACCTCTTGGAAGATTGCAGTGAAAGGGTCTGAGAAGCCGTGGCTGGGGGAAACTTGAGAGACAATGATAAATTCTGCCCTTCCTATCCTGCAATTTGGGCCGAGGCCCCCAGAGCTGAAAGCCGCCTAGTGTTTGCTCAGGAGGAAGGGCCAGGGTGAAGGGTTAGGCCAGCTTTGCAGACGCAGGGGGGCTGACAGACAGCCAGCGCCTGGCCCCCAGCCCCATGAGGGAGGCCGGCCGAGCAAGAGCAGTCCGCCTGCTGCCTACCTCCCGCCCACCCAGAGGCCCTGCGCTGGTAGCTGGGGAGAACGTTTCGATGGAAAACAAGTGCGGATCGATGCAATTTTTACATCAACCGGACTTTTAAATGGCAAAGCCAAGGGCTTGTTCTTATACTCGGAGACGGGCTGGGGCTCGGGCTGGGTGGGAAGAGGGGTCCCTGAGGGTGGCAGGGAGGGGACGATGCTGCTTACTGCCTTCTGAGTCCAACTCGCCCCCTCATCACCCCTGCCCTCAGCAGGGCCTGGGGAGACTCCGGAGGGAAAGGTGGGCCGGTGGCTGCCCTGACCCGCCCCGCCGCCTCGGCAGCTATGCGAAAACTCCTGTGTGTGGGCGCACGGGGACAAACTGGCTCCCGGAGACAGGCCTTGTGGGAAGAGTGGAGGGATTTGGGAATTTTTTTCTATTTTCTGAATTTAAAGTAATGTTCTTTTTTTTCATTTTCCCCACCCCGAAGGATTCCAAACAACAGGATCCCAGGACTAACACTCTATCCCGGGGGTTCGTGGTTCTGCGGCTCTGGAGAGCCCTGGCTGCTCTACCTGGGAAATGGTTAGAAATGCGAAATCTTTGGCCTTATACCAGGCCTAGTGAATCAGACACTGGGGGAGGGACAAGGGGGCTTTAATAAGCTCTCCAGAAAATTCTGACGCACTCTCAGGTTTGAACAGTACTCTGGTACGGTCTCACTCCTCAAAGTGTGGTCCGGGGACCAGCAGCAAGGGCCTGACCTGGGGGCTGGTTAGCCAGGCAGACTCTCAGGCCCGCCCCAGACCTGCTGAGTCAGTCTCTGCCTTTAACCAGATTGTGGGTGCCTCTGGGTTTGGGGAGCACCGACCGCGTGCTTTCCAGGGGCAGGGGAAGAGGCGTTGCCCGGACTCTTGGGAATACCCGTAAAAGTGGTCAGCGACTGGGCGCCTAAATGCCAAACCCTTTACGTAACTTGCATACCTCACGTGTGTGACATGTATGACCACATGAGATTCTCCCACAACCCCGTCAGGTACGTGCACTCATTAATTCCACCTCACGGATGAGGACGCAGACTTCGAGGGGTTGGGGAGCCTGTTCGGGGTCAGGTGGCTTGTAAGGGGCGGGTACAGAGTCAGAGCCCAGAGCACCCACTCTCTGCTCCCCACACTGCAGACAGGGTGGCGTAGCTGTTCAGGAGCAAACACACACACACACACACACACACACACACACACACACACACACAGCCACGATGCCTCCTCTTAATTACAGCTGTCTTGTGTCTGCCTCTAACAAAGGCTGCGGGCTGGGAAAGGAATCAACTTAATATGCAATTGCTCTTCCCAATTAGCACAAATTACCATTTGTCTGAGAAGCTAATGCTGGGAGCTGGAACCGCCCTGAGCTTTGGAGCCTCAGCTGCCTAACCAGTCCCTCGTCCCTCTTGGCTGCAGAGAAGGGGACGCAGGCCTCTCCCCACAGGCCTCACGGGGACAGGAGCAGCAGGCCGGGTACATACATGCTGGCTGGGACCCAGGGGGGAGCATCCGGAGTTTGTATCTGTCTGGCACGTTGAATCCCCCTCCAAGCAGCTGTGCTCCTGGCTACATGTGTATCGGCCAACCCCAGGCCCAGTCCCCAGCTGTACAAGCAAGGGCTGCCCCCCTCCTCCTCCCTCCAGCTCCCTTCCCGGGGCCTGGCACATTCCCAACCCAGAAAATATTAGGGGGCCCTGATGATGCCATTCAAGGCTATGGTGGCTCTGTGGTGAGAAATCAGCCCTGGCACGAGGAAGAATCGAAGGGCTGGTAGGTGGCCTGCCACACTTACCCTCCACTTAGTTTCTTGATCCCCGAAGGGCTGGCTACCTCTGGGTGCAAGGCCTTTGTGCATCCCAGAATGCTCTTCCCTACCTCTGCCCTTCAGCAGGCTGACTCCCCTGCACCCTTCAGGCCAAGGCCAATACTAATTCTTTTAATAATAATAACAATGGCAGCTATCATTTATGGAGTGCTCAATGTGTGCTCTACCTGCCTCAACTCAACCACACGACAACGTTATGTGACAGGTACTACAGTCTCACTTTGCAGATGGGAAAACCAGGGCACAGAGAAGTTTAGCAACCTGTCTGAGGTCACACAGCAAGGAAGAGGTACAGGCAGTATTTGAACTAAGTGGTTTGGCCTTGGAGCCCAATCTCTCTTCAGAAAAGCCTGGCACAGTGGGGAGCCTCCTACTGTTTGCTGTCTAGTGTCACTTAGCACAACTGTACTCACACACGTGTCTTCTGTATTATCTGCACTCAGGAAGATAGAGACCCACTTCCGATTTGCTGACAGCTGTGTCCCTAGCGCCTAGTTCTATGCCTGGCACGTGTGCTTGAATAAATGGGTCTCAGTCCCCTCATCTTTAAACTGAGGTAATATTGGGGTGCCTGGGTGGCTCAGTTGGTTAAGCATCTATCTCTTGATTTCAGCTCAGGTCATGATCTCATGGTTTGTGAGATCGAGCCCCACAAGAATCCTGCTTCAGAGTCTTTCCCTTTCTCCCTCTCTCTCTCTCTCTATGCCTCTCCCCACCCTCTGCTCTCACGCAAGTGCACACACGCTCTCTTTCTCTCAAAATGAATACACATTTAAAAATGAAATAAAATAAAACGAGGAAATATCTCATCCCAATGACCATCCGGAGAATCAGGCCATGCAAGCAAAGTGCTTGGCATGGCCTGACTGCCACCATTTTCTCTTAGGAAGAGGGGTGGGGATCTGAGCTCCAGCAGGCTCTGGATTCCCTGCCTTCTTGTCTGAGGATCACTTTTCCATCTAGTGAACACGTATTGAGCACCTACTGTGTGCTAGCAGTCATAGCTGCTGGGTCCAAACACTGCAAAGAGGAGACAAAGTCAGCTCTTTGGGGGAGGCAGATGGTGCATCTAAGGCTGAGATCCCAGGCAGCGTTCTGACCTGAGATGTGCCGTGAAGGACCCCCGCTCTGTTCTGGAGCCTGGAAGCCCTCCCTGCCCCTGACCCTCCCCCCTGGTCCCAGCACCGGGCACTGGGCACTCACAGGCTTCATGATCCAGGTGATCCCCGGGTTTCTGCGGAATTCCTCCACGAACAGGTGGTACTCACACGGCATCTCAAAGGTTTTGGGGAAGAAGTCGCACTTGGCTGCCTCCAGCTTCCCTGCCTCGCGCTCCAGCTGCTTCCGGAACCGCTTCAGGTTCTTCACCATGTAGTTTTTGCGGGTCAGCTGGGCAGCGGGACGGGCGGACAGGCTGTTCAGGCTCGTGCCCCCTGCCCGGCTCCACCTCCCAACCCCAACCATCGCCACTGCCTCCCACAGCCTCCATTCTCTGGCCCACGAAGGAGCAATAACAGTAAGAGTAAGTTTGAGAGCCTGCTATTCTATAACTGTCCCCACTTTACAGGCAAGAAAAGCGAGGCTCAGAAAGGCGAAGGCAATTGCCCAGAGCTACCCAGCGAACGGAAGTTTTGTGACCCAAGCCTGTCAGACTCCAAAGTTCACGTTCCTAACTTTTTTTCTTAATTATTTTTATTATTGAGAGACAGAGAGAGACAGAGCACGAGCACGAGAGAGGCAGAGAGAGGCGGAGACACAGAATCCCAAGCAGGCTCCAGGCTCTGAGCCTGACGCAAGGCTCAAACTCCACAAACCACGAGATCATGACCTGAGCCAAAGTCGGACGCTTAACTGACTGAGCCACCCAGGCGCCCCCACGTTCCTAATTTCTAAGCTACACTAACCTTTTCAAATCTCTGCCTCGTTGGCTCCTCCAGTCCCATCTTTGTGATCTGATTCTTCTGGGACCTCCCTCCCAGCTCCAGACTCCCGACTGCTCAACGTGTCTCTTCCCTGAAATCACCGGATTGCCCAAGCATCCTCTTCCCTCGGCCCTTTCCCCCACAAGCCAGGCTGCCCCTCACATCTGTAGTGTTGAAATGCCAACCAGCCGGTGACCTCAGTCCCTGCCCCAAAATAGCCTGTTGCTCAGGGGTTAGATCCTTACCCTCTCACATTCTTTAACCCATCATGTATCTCATGCACATGTTCCCCACCTGGCATGTACCCTGAATCCCCTTATGCTTTTCCATTCTGGTCCTTGCACTCCCTGCCTCGACCGATGACACGAACTGACAGACTCAGTCTCCCTTTCTCCCCTTCTCCCCTCCCCCCTCCACCCCCCCCACTGACCCACCCAGCTCACCTCGTAGTGGTTTCGGAAGTGACTGATTCGCACGTGTTCCTCCATGTAGATGTGGTCAAAGTTCTCCCGGAGCCAGCTGACGTCACACCAGTAGAAATCCCAGTCCCCTTCACTGGGGGTCGGTGGGACAAAGGTCACAAGGTAAGGCCCTCAGCACTGCTGAGGGCCTGGGGCCCACGGAGGTGCAGCTGAGGGGCAAGCAGCGTGTTCATGAGGAGCCTTGAGGGAGTGGCCATGGTTTGCTAGGGTGGAGATGAGTCTGAGACTGTGCACACTGACTAGGTGCAGTCCAAGCCCTGACAAGCCAAGTGACCCCAAACATGGCATGTTCTACTCTTCTCTGTCCAGGTGTCCCGTTGCCCGGTAAATGGGTATGATAATAGCACCTCCCAGAAGGCTTGCCAGACGATTCAGAGGTCATGCGTGTAAACTGCTAATAAAGAGTGTCTAAAGGGCTTAGCTATTGTTATGCAACAGTATTTATTGAGCACCAGTTCAGGGCAGCCACCCTGGCTTTCTCTACAGTAATAGAATTCCCCACGTTTACCTGGGAAAATGTAATCCACATTTTCCAAAATGAAAACTACATATCCCAGATTCTCCTGCAGCCAGGCTAAGTCTGGCTTCCGGGCTGTGTCCTTCAATAGCAGGACGTGTACCTTCTTGTCTCCTTCCTACCTACTGCTGCTTGCCCTGTGGACGTAGGGCTGAAGCTTCACCTTAGACCATGAGGAGAAAGGCTTCATTCAAGGGATAGCAGAATGGAAACACGGAAGCAGAGGGACCCAACTTTCTATACCATCTCTGAACTTCCTACACTGGGACTTTAGTGGGAGAGATAAAGAAACTTCTAGTCCGTCAAAGCCTCTTTTGCTCTGGGTCTCTGTTACACACAGCCAAACCTTAGCCCTCACTAACATGAGCACCTACTATGTGCCAGGCATTGTTCATCTCAGCATCCTCAGGGTCCAGCGTAGAGGAAGCGACACAGGCTTATCAAGTAACTTGTAACAAGTAACAAGAACAAGTCAAGTAGCTTGTTCAAAGTCACAAGATTAGTAAGTGGCCAGGGAAGAGCAGCCCTTGACCTGGACCTGGCATCCCTGGAAGATTTCAAGCCAGCTAGTCTGTGATGGCTGTATCCTGGATTCTCCAGAAGGCTCCAGGACACTGGCTATGGAATAGTGCAATGGAACTGGGAGTGAATCCCACTCTGACACGTATGTGCTGTGTGACCTTCAACAACTGGCTTGATACCTCTGATCATAATCATATCTTGCTGGATGGTTCTAAGACTTAAACAAGACAGAGATGGCGTCTGTAATGTGCCTGATACATTCTGGGCGCTAAATAAATATTGGTCCATGTCACAGCCAAATTGGGACAAGTCCCAGCAGCTACCCACAGGGACTGGGAGAGGACAGAGGGAGACAAGGACCAGTGAGTCAAAGAGAAGGAGAGCCGGGATTGGCAGGGGGTGGGGAGGCATCTTACTCCTTTACTTCCACCCATCCCGGCCGGTGGCGAAGGACGTCCATGAGAGTACTCATGAGTGTGGCCTTGAATCGGATGGATGCTCTCTGCTCTCTGCAAGACAAGGCAACAGAACGCTTGCTCAGGACCACACAAAACCTGGGCGTGGATGTTCATGGTAGCTTTATCCAGAATAGCCCCAATCTGGCAACAACCCAGATGTCCTTCAACAGGTGAATGGTTAAACAAATAGTGGTCCATCCATACCATGGAATACTGACTTAGGCAGCAATAAAAAGGAGTGAAATATATGTACATTCAACCTGGATGCATCTCTGGGGAATTATGCTGAGTGAGAAAGGCCAATCCTAAGATGTTATTATATACTGTACGATTCCATTTATATAACTTTTTTTTTTTTGAGAGAGAGAGAGAGCATGGATGCACATGCAAGTGGGGGAGGGGAAGAGAGAGAGGGAGAGAGAGAATCCCAAGCAGGCTCCTCATTGTCAGCGCAGAGCCGGACGCAGGGTTCCAGCCCATGAACTGTGAGATCATGACCTGAGCCAAAATCAAGAGTCGTGCGCTTAACTGACTGAGCCACCCAGGCGCCCCTATATAACTTTTTGAAATGACAAAGTTATTAAAATGGAGAACACATTAGCAATTGCTTGGAGTCAAGGACAGGGTGGAGGTGGTATTGAGGAAGAAGGCCAAGGGAGAAGGAGGAAGTGGCTGTGGCTATAAAAGGGTCAGACTGGGGATCTGTGGTGATGGGAACTTTCCTTACCTTGACTATATGGATGTCAGTATCCTGGTTGTGATACTGCATGGGGGTTGTACCCTCTGTTTACCATTGGAGAAAATCAAATGCAGGGCACGTGGTGACTCACTATATTATTTCTTTTTTTTTAAATGTTTTAAAAAATTTATTTCTGAGAGAGAGAGACAGTGTGAACAGGGGAGGGTCAGAGAGAGAGGGAGACACAGAATCCGAAACAGGCTCCAGGCTCTGAGCTAGCTGTCAGCACAGAGCCCAACACAGGACTCAAACCCACGAACCATGAGATCATGACCTGAGCCAAAGTCGGACGCTTAACCGACTGAGCCACCCAGGCGCCCCACTATATTATTTCTTATACAGTTTTTTAAAGTAGGCTCTGCACCCAATATGGGGGCTGAACTCAGGACCCTGACATCAAGAGTCGTGTGCTCTACCAACTGAGCCAGCTAGGCGCTCCTCACTGCATTATTTCTTATAACTTCTTATAAATCTACAATTACCTCAAAGTAAATATTTAATTTTTAAAAAATTTAATACATCATTAGAAGTCTGGATAATGGCTAGCTTTGTGAGGGAAATGATTGAAAGAGAACATGAGTGGCGTTTCTGCGGGTGTATCAAGTTAATGAAAATTCACTGAGCTGTAAACTTACGATGTATGCGCTTTTCTGTATATGCAACAGAACTCTGTAACAAAATATACCACAAACAAAGTTAAAGGACTGGCTATAGATGAAGATAAAACATTTGCAATGCTTACGATCTGTAAGACATTTGGACCCAGTACATAAAGAACTTCTACAAATCATTTAGAAAAAGACAAAATGCCTAAAGGATCGAACAGGCCATTCAAAGCAGGGGAAACTTCCCAGTAAGTGCGAGAAAAGATACTCAACCTTCCCAACAATCAAGTAAATGCAAATTAAAATACTCAGGTTGTAATAGAAAAGGATGTGAAAGGCTCTCAGTCCTACAGTAGCAAGGAGGGAAAAAATGTACAAAATTAATGTCACACTTGACTACAGAGCAGGCGGGGGGCAATGGACAAAAGAAAGCTTGAACCGATTCTAGAGAGAAAGAAGCCCTTTGTGGGGGAGCAGAGAGGTGCAGCAGTGTCTAGGTCTGGGGGCCGTCTGAGTACCGCCAAGAGGCGGAATGAGCCAGCATGAAGAAGAAGTCACCAGGAGAAAGCAGTTGTGCTTAGACACTATGGAGGGTGGTCAAACAAGTCAAAATCTGGAAGATTCCCATTCCAAAACCAAAGCAAACCAAACCACACCAAAACAACATTGCGGCAAATTTGTTTAAGAAAGAAGCAGTAGAGAACATAGTAAAGCAGAGAGAAAACCCATAGTCCTGCACAATGATGTGGTGCCTGCCAGACTGAATCCAAAAACGAACCAAAAAAACACAAACAAACACTGAACCCCTTCCCAGAGCAAAGGCTCAAAATGGCCGTATAGGAGATTGGGCCTGGAGCAAACACACTGTAATTAAAGCTTCAGCCCGACCCATGTTCCACTCGGCTTTAGGAGGACTTGAATGATCAGTCCCCAGCCCTAAGTGTGGTCAGAGGAAAAGGCTTCCAGCCTCTGTGATGTGGAGAACAAAGGCAAAAGGGAAACAAATGAAATTTCTTTACAACTTATAGCACATTGACAAGTCCTTGAGACAGAGTGACCTTCCTCCAGAAACTCAACTGCCTCATGTTCATACTTTGCTAGATGTCAAAGGCAACCTTCGCCTGACATTAGCCTGAACTCTAGGATCCTGTAAGAAAAAAATCCCTTTGGAAATTTCCTTTATCTCTGTGTTAGCCATCATCCGCCAAACACAAGGCCCACTGATATCCATTTGAAGAGTCTCATGACTAAAGTTTTACTAGACTGTAGTAAATGACCTTATCCTAGCAACAGCTAGCCACTTGAGATTCTGGAAACGTGCTTCCAAATTCCTTAGAGACTTACACTATCCCAAACCCCGGCCCTGGCCACTCCTCACAACCCCAGTGCAGCTCTTTCCTTTTTTTTTTTTTAATTTTTAATTTTTGTTTATATTTGAGAGAGAGAGAAAGAGAGACAGAGACAGAGTGAAAGCGAGGAAGGGGCAAAGAGAGAGGGAGAGAGCAGGCTCCCTGCTCCAAGCTGTCAGCATAGAGCCCAATGTGGGGCTCGAATCCACAAACCATGAGATCATGATCTGAGTCAAAGTCAGGTGCTTAACTGACTGAGTCACTCAGGTGCCCACAGTGCAGCTCTTTCTGCCCACGGATCCTATCTGCGTGGCTTAATAAGACCGCCTTTTTGCACCAAAGATGTCTCGACAATTCTTTCTTGACCGTTCGTTCCTGAACCCCAACATTTTTACATCATCTGGAAAATCAATCAATCTTTCTCTCTTTCTACACACGTATCCATTTTTGTGTCTGAATCTCTAAAAGATTAATTTTCCTTGACCCTGAAGCACTTTCTTTTTTTTTTAATGTTTTATTTATTTCTGAGAAAGAGAGAGAGTAGGGGAGGGCCAGAGAGAGAGGGAGATACAGAATCCAAAACAGGCTCCAGGCTCTGAGCTGTCAGCACAGAGCCCAATGAGGGGCTCGAACCCACGAACTGTGAGACCATGACCTGAGCCGAAATCAGATGCTCAACCGACTGAGCCACCCAGGTGCTCCTGAAGCACCTTCTTTAGTGTTTAAATACATGACAAAAATGTCTGGGCGCCTGGGTGACTCAGTCGGTTGAGCGTCCGACTTCGGCTCAGGTCATGATCTCACGGTTTCTGGGTTTGAGCCCTGCGTCGGGCTCTGTGCTGACAGCTCAGAGCCTGGAGCCTGTTTCGGATTCTGTGTCTCCCTCTCTCTCTGCCCCTCCTCTGCTCTCTCTCTCTCTCTCTCAGAAGTAAATAAACATTAAAAAAAATTTTTTTCCAATACATAACGAAAATAACAGCACAAAGGACCAGAGGGGAGTAAACAGAGCATGCTGTTCTAGGGTTCTAACACTGTGCAGGAAGTGGTATAATACTGATTCACAGTAGGCAGTGAGTGACGAGTTAAGAATGCATATTGTAATTCCCTAAAACAGCAGTTCTTGATGGGTGGTCCAAGCAGTCCTCAGGGTCCCCAAGTCTTTTTCAGAGATACACAAAGTCCTTCCTTTTCCAACTACATGTCTTTGCGAGGCTGGATTTTCTTCCTATTCTTCAACCAAAACAACATATCACAACAGATTGGATCCAGAAGGTTTGGGAAGCCAAATGTTTTTTATTAAGCCAGACATTAAAGAAATACACAAAAATGTGAAAACATTTACTACTCATCAAAGTAAATTTGGAGGAGGGAGAGTACAGTTATAGTTCATAAATATACATCATTTACGCTACCAGGTAATGAGCACATTACTGCTTTATAAATGAATTAATAAGAATTTTTAAATTTCTAATTTTCTAAATATTTATGGTAACTACTGATAAGTATAAGCACACAAACAAAAATTTACAAGAGTCCACAATAATTTTTAAGTAGTAAAGAGATCCTGAGCTCAAATTTTAAGAACCCCTGCTATAAAGTAGTAAACTAAGGAGTATTTTAAAAATTAATCCAAAACAATGCAGAGATACAATTTCAATATCCATCAGATCGGGGAGAATGTTTAAAATCAGACAAATACCAAGTGTTCACAAGAATGTGGAGATATGACAATTATCTTATAATGCTGATGGAACTAGAAATCGGATAAATCTTTAGAGAGCAACCTGGCATACTAAAACTGTCAGTTACTATTCATCCGTGTTCGAAGGGCAAAAATCTAAAAGTCCAAATTTGGCAACAATGTGCCAAAATGGAAACTCTTCCCGTAGTGGTAGAAGGTACTGGGAGAACCACACGGCAGTGTTTAGTGAAACTGAATTTGCACACACTCTCTGGCCAGCAATTCCATTCTAGCTCTATGCCCTAGATAGATACCCCACCTATGCACCTATGCACTGGGCATTCTATGTACAAGGATGCTCAGTTGTAATTAGTACTATTTAAAAAAAATTTTTTTAATGATTATTTATTTTTGAGAGACAGAGAGAGACAGAACGTGAGTGGAAGCGGGTCAGAGAGAGAGGGAAACACAGAATCCAAAGCAGGCTCCAGGCTCTGAGCTGTCTGCACAGAGCCCAACGCGGGGCTCAAACCACCAACCGTGAGATCATGACCTGAGCCGAAGTCGGAGGCTTAACCGACTGAGCCACCCAGGTGCCCCTAATTATTACTATTTTTTATGGATATAACCTGCAGCACACAGTTGGTGGCCCACCCTTGTCCCTTGGGCATTCTCCATTCCTGTGCATGCACTCTGCTCAACCAGCGCTTGAAGCAGGTCCGAAGTGCCCTTCCCACACCAGCACACAACTAATGGCGACTGGAGTTCATGGATAAATCCTCCAGCTCCTCATCGCTCAGTGGGGACGGGTCTGGAGTGCTCTGCTCTGTACTATCTCCTAGGAATCTGCAGTGGGACTGAGCCCCACCGCAATAACCTGTCTGTAATCCCCCTTCTTTGGTTTCCTTCCCTCGGCTGCTCACATCCCCACTGCCCTGCTAATTAATGTGTACTGACATCGCCTTCCAACCTTCCAAATAAACTACTTGCTCTCACACCCTTGACTCAGGGTGTGCTTCCGGAGGAAACCAATTCTAAGGCACAGCCTGAAGGCCTCTCAACAGGAAGCAGATAAATAACTTGAGTGTACAATGGAACACATACAGTGATTAAAATGCATCCAGAGCTACAGGCACCAATGTGGATAAATGCTGAAAATAGAATTTTTTGTGACAAAAGCAGAGTGCAGAATAATATGATAACGTCACTTATGTAACTTATATTCCTAACCACTGACACAGCTAGGGGTGTCCATGAGACACGGTTCTGGTCAGTAAGATAAAAACATAAGATGGTCGGGGCGCCTGGGTGGCTCAGTCGGTGAAACGACCAACTTCGGCTCAGGTCATGATCTCACGGTTCATGGGTTTGAGCCCCGCCTCGGGGTCTGTGCTGACAGCCAGCTCAGAGCCTGGAGCCTGTTTCAGATTCTGTGTCTCCCTCTCTCTGACCCTCCCTTGCTCACTCTGTCTCTCTGTCTCTCTCTCTCTCTCAGAAATAAATAAATAAAACATTTTTAAAAACTTAAAAAAAAAAACAAACATAAGATGGCTAAGGAGGGTGGGTTCCTGGAACGCACTGGTTCTTCTGATTAAAATAAAGAAAGATGGGGTGCCTAGGTGGCTCTGTTGGTTAAGCAACCCACTCTTGGTTTCGGCTCTGGTCATGAACTCACAGTTTCATGAGTCCGAGTCCCACATCGGGCCCTGTGCTGGCAGCATGGAGTCTGCTTGGTATTCTCTCTCTTCTTCTCTTTCTCTCTCTCTCTCTCTCTCTGCTCTCCCCCCCCCCCCCGCCATGCTGCTCACGCTGTCGCGCTCTCTCTCAAAAACAAACTTTAAAAATAAAATAAAGAGATAAAAGAAATAAAAGAAAGAAAGACGCTTGAGGCTTCCCTCCCCACTTCTACCCATCTTGATCGTGACATGAAGCCCTGAGCTGTGGCAGCCACTTTGTGTCCAAAGAGGAAAGGTCAAGGCAACCACAGAGACGCTAGCTCTGGCAGTGTGGAAACCCTGCACTCGCCTTCTTGGCTCTTCGTCATATGAGGAAAGCAAATACAATCGTTTAAAGCTACTATTAGTTACGTTTCCTGTTACTTGTAGCTAAACACATTTCTAATTGGTGTCTGCCCTAGTAAAACAGACCCTGTTAACTGAAGTGCCCTTTCTTGGCTGGGGTGGAAGTGAGGGTGTAAGTTGAGGGTCATTACCTGGACGAGAGCTCTGTGGAAGAGAGTAAGAGATTCGAAATTGGTGCCAAACTTCTCTCAGTACATAGAGAAAGAAGGCAAAGAAGATGGGCACTGCACGAGAGATGGGACAGAGACCACGCATGCCCTTCCCAGTGGTGGTGTGGCCAGAAGTGACTTTAGAAAGGACAGAAATACCTAATGAAACAGAATAGAAGCATCTAGAATATGTGCCGCAGCATGTGCGATGTAACCTCTACCTCCTTACAAAAAACGCCAGTGAAGTCAACACCTCTCCCTCCTGCTTTGGGCAAGAGTGCAATGAGGTGCTGAGTTCTGCGTCCCGGTTATTGCCGCAGAGGGAGGCAGAGGGTTGGGGCAGAGTTGACATTGGAGCTATCAAGTCATCACACGGTTGTTGAAGGAGGCAGGAGGGCATAGGGAGATACAAGACAGGCCCTGGAGCCCAATAAGTCTTGTCACTGACTGATCCTACAGGCTTTAGCAAGTTACCTACTTAGCCTCCCTGAGCTTCAGTTTCCCCATCTGTAAAATGGACACAATAGCAGTATCTACTTCAAAGGATCATGGTAAAGACTCAAAGAGATAATACGGGTAAAACAACTAGCCTGGCACATGGTAAGTTCTCGGTGATTGTTATTATTATCATTGTCATTATTGAAGTAAAGAAGGGGAGCGGGGAGATGGACAAAAGGGAAAGAAGGAAGGGAGGGAGGAAGGGAGGAAGGGAAGACAGAATTTCGTTCTGCATTTATCGGATTGCATGGGGCCACTCACCTCTCTTTTCCCTTTGACAATCCATGGCCCTTGTAATTTTGATTCTGTAATGAAAAAAGGAAAGTGATGTAACCAGTTCTGCACACCCACTCTGCTTTCTCAGCTCAACTTACCGCGGATCTGAAAATGCTGAAACCATCAGACATAACACTGCCCAGATCCTGAGATGTGAAGGACCAGCCTGGCCAAGTTCACGTTGGTAGGTACGCGGCCAGCAACTTGGTCCTTGGGATAAATCCCCAAGTACCCAAGGGCCCACCTCATAGGACTCTTCCACAGGCCTATGATGGAACACCTAGTTATCAGTGCTCCAAAGGTCCAACCCCAGTTTTGAGGGCTGAGTTTTAAGGGCTGAGCTCAGCACGCTCTGTGAGAAGGAGCTGAAACGTGAATATTCAGTTAGATCCAGGATCCAGGAGGGAGGGGGCTGGGTCAAAGGCTCAGAGCAAAGTTAATTTCTTCCATCCAAAATGGGCCTCTCAAATTCTCAAAGAAGAGTGGGTATTATTTTGCTTCTACCGTGTCTAAAAGAGTTTGGCCTTCAGTCCTGGTAACACTGATCCCTAATGGCAGGTATGAAAAAAGAAATTAGAACTGGTCTTGTGCAGGGTGACCCCCAAAGTTTGGACAGACCTGTTCTCTGCATTAGTTTTCTATTACTGTACAACAAATTTCACAAATTACCACAAATTTAGTGGCTTAAAACAGTACAAATTTATCTTGTGGTTTCCGCTGGCCAGGAGTGGCTTAGCTGGACCCTCTGCCAGGGTCTCACAAGGTGATGGCCTGCGTTATGTTTCCCATCCATGGAAATTAAAATTGCAGACATAATCAACTGACTTTAAAACAAAGAGATTATCCTGGATTATTTGAGTGAGCCCAATGTAATTACTCATTTTTTGTTTTGAGATAGAATTAAAGAAACTGGGGTGCCATGCATGAGAGAACACGGGATAAGAAGCAGGCTGGTGGAGAGAGGGTTGGATTCTAGAGTAATTCATTTCCCTTCTTTGGCCCGCATTTTCCCCACTTTAAAGTGGGAGGGGAGGCGTTGGCCTGTGCACTCTTAAGAGGGCAGGGACTTGTCTGATTCACATCGGCAGCAGTGGGCTCAGTTTAGAGAAGTCATTGATTAGCATTTGGGGATGAATGCATTCCGAATGGATGGATGCGTAGGCAAACGGGGTGGAATGAGTAGATATATAAGAGCTTTTCCAGGCTCTGAGGTTCCCCCAGGGTCCCCGAAATCGCTGAGTACCGTTTAGAATCCCAGATTTTCGTAGCTTTCCCGCCAGCAAGGCCGGCTGGGGACTCGCGCAGCACCTCAGGCGGCGGCGCGAGGCCAAGCCAGGGTTTGAAGTCTTTTCTCTGAATTCCTTTTCCTCCCACTTGTCCGGAATCCCTCCGCGGGGAACCCTCCCCCCCGAGTCTGAATCCCTCCGCGGCCTCCCTCCCTCTCTCTAAGGACGTTGAAAGCATCTGGATCGCGTGGGACTCCTACCTTCGGGCGCGACATAACACGATTCCATAGGGCCAGATCCAAACTGCTACCGCGCCGCGCGCGAGCCCCGGCGTCCCGTTGCCAAGGCGACTGAGGGCGCCCGGATCCGCCGCTCTCATTGGATGAGCCAAGGAGCCTCCTCTCCGCGCGATTGGCGCGCCTCACCCGAGCCGCGGAAAGTTCTAGCGCGCCCCCGAGGCCCAGACCCTCCTACTCGCTGGGCCCTTCTCTCCCAGCCCCTCCCCTCGGCGACCCGGGGGCGCGCCCGGCCAGAGACGGGGTTTCCTCCGCGGGCACTTACTGCTCCTCCTCCAGCTACGTTTCGCTTGACCTAAGAGCACCGAGGCTGAAAAGTTGCCAGTCTTTGGTAAATGCAACGGTCCTGTTTCTTTACTCGGTGCCTCACTGAGATACCTTGTCAGTTGGTCAGTTGGTAACGTGGCCAGACACTTCTATTTCTCAGCCACTCTCTCTAATTCTTGGGCAGCATCTCGATGCCAGGATTCACCTCCACGCCTGCGGTAGCCTCCTAACCAGTCTGCTAGTGACCATCCATTCCAATTCACTCTTGGCATTGCAGCTAAAGAGCATTTTAGAACACGAAACCTATCGCTTCTCGGCCTTTTGGCTAAGATCAAGTGTAGAACACGAATCCCATCGTGTCTCTACGCGAAGTAGCAATATAGTTGCCATTGCACCAGGTATTGGCTCTCTGTCTTTTCTTGCCTCACTTCTCCACTGCCCTGGGATCTATATACCAACCACAACAGACTAGAAATTGTTTTTTAAAAATGTGTTGTTTGTTTTATAGCAAAATACAAGTTATGTAGGAACATAGCTAATAAAATATATTCAAGACACTTTATTAAATAACAAATTATTAAGCCTCTAGTCTTATGGCATGTCTCGTTCTTGACTCTGAGGATACAGCAATGAACAAAACTAACAAGCATCTGTCCCTCGTGGAGTTTATAGTCCCATAGGGAATATTACGAAACATTGAAGGACATTAAAGAAGACCTGAATAAGCAGAGGAATATACCATGTTCATGGACTGGAAAACTCAATATCAAAGAGATGTGTATTTTCCCAAATTCAGTCAGGATTTTTGAGAAACCTTCTCAATCCAAGAGAGGCAAATTATTAGTGGAATAATAAGGGGATCCTAGAAACAGACACAGGTGTGTGTGTGTGTGTGTGTGTGTTTTAACTTGATGTACAATAAAGATGGCATCATAAATCAATGGGGAAAGGGTGGGGAACTCAGTATATGGCATTGAGAAACTGGCCTTCTGTAGGAGTGAAAAATAGAGGCCTAATTCAAGCAGGTTAAAGAATAAATAATGCAAACAAATATTTCAGTCTATTAGAAATAAATATATATAACATTTTATGTCATAGTGGGAAGGGATTTCTTAATAAAGCGCAATTCAGCAGAAAAAATAATCTGTGGCTCTCTCAAAATCGAAACTGCCATACAACAAAAAACATTGCAAGTTCAGTTAAAAGACAAGCTATAAGGGTGCCTGGGTGGCTCAGGCAGTTAAGTGTCTGACTTTGGCTCAGGTCATGATCTCATGGTTTCGTGAGTTCAAGCCCTGCATCAGGCTCTGTGCTGATAGTGCAGAGCCTGCTCGGGATTTTCTCTCTCTCCCTCTCTTTCTGCCCCTGCCCCACTAGCTTGCTCTCTCACTCTCTCTCTCTCAAAAATAAATAAATAAATGTTAAAAAAAAAGATAAGCTACAGACTAAAAGGAAATATCCACAACATATATAACAAAGGACCAGTATTTAAAGAACTACAAACTATTAAGAAAAAGACTACCCTTTTCTTTCTTTACAAAGGAAATATGGACAAACACGTGAATAGAGAACTTTCAGCAGGAGAAACTCAAGTAGCCAAAAAGCAAATTGAGATATGTAAATCAAAACAAGTATAAAATTTTATTTTAAACACATCATCGAGATAAAAATAAAAACATGTTTCAACATCAAGTATTTTTAAGGATGTGTGGAAACCGAGCCTTCATATGCTGTTGACTATGTTGCAGTCACACTTTAGAAGGCAATTTGCAATATTTCGTCAAGTTAAAAGTGCACAGACTCACAACCTGATTCCATTACTGGACATATATTCTATAGGCTATCTAAATACAGCTGCACAACCCAGGGACTATCACTTTGGAGCTAATGTGCAAGGTGACATCCTTACCTAAAGAAACTTTCATCCTTGTTCAGAGGTCATATGTACAAGCATGTTCATTGCAACATTTTTTTTTAAGAGAGAGAGAGAGAAAGAGAGCACCAGGCGGGGAGAAGGGCAGAGGGAAAGAGAGAGAAAATCCCAAGCAGGCTCCACACTCAGTGCAGAGCCCCATGAGGGGCTCCATCCCACGACCCTGGGATCATGACCTGAGCCAAAATCAAGAGTTGAATGCTCGGGAGCATGGGTGGCTCAGTCGGTTAAGCATCCTACTTCGACTCAGGTCATGATCTCATGGCTTGTGAGTTTGAGCCCTGCATTGGGCATTGTGCTGACAGTTCAGAGCCTGGAACCTGCTTCAGATTCTGTGTCTCCCTCCCTCCCTCCCTCCCTCTCTCTCTCTCTCTTTCTCTGCCTCTTCCCCCTCAAAAATAAATACATACTTTAATTTTTAAATTATTTTTAATATTTATTTAATATAATTATTCTAGTGCTCATCCCAACAAAAAATTAAAATTAAAAAAAGAGTTGGATGCTTAACCAACTCAGGCACCCCACAACATTCTTATAATCATAAGAAGTATTAGAAGGAATCTAAATGTCCCCTCCTAGCGAGATGGATTAATAAAATGGAATATATTCTGATAAAAATACTATACAGTGATAAAAATTAATGGTCCAGATCTATATCAACATAAAAAATATCCCCAAACCTACTGTTGAGTGAATAAAAGAGACTTGCAGAATGATAAATATTTTTAAAGGTGGACATGTGTATTAATCATAAACATACAAAAGTATATTCTACATACTTATGGGTATATTGGCATTAAAAGTTTAAAAAATACAACTAGAAAGATGTGCACCAAATTCACAAATAGTGGTTTCCTCTAGGGAGAGTGAAGGAAGAAGGGAGACGAGAGGAAACTCCCAACTGCTTTAAGTGTATTTGGAACGTTTTGTTTTATTGAAACAATGCAGTTGAAGCCAATTGGCCAAAGTATTCTTATCTGGATTTATTTTTTTGTTTTTGCCATAATAATAAAAGAATATCAGTACTATTCCTCTACTATCATAGAGGAAGAAGTTTAGGATGCCTTGGGAATGCATAGTTGTGGGATCCACCTTCTTTACTTGGGGTCCACAAAGACTGTCAGGACAAAATGGGAGCTGGTCTGGTAAAGGGGATGGGAAAAGCATTCCAGGCAGAGGGAACGGCATGTGCAAAATTGGAAATCAGAGAGAGTGAAACATGTTTGTGGAAGTAAATGCAGATCAGTGACCAGGAAAGAGTAGGGAAGAGGGGAGAAATGAGGCTGCCAATCTTGTACGTTTTGTTCTTTCCTTTTTTTTTTTTGCAAATGTGGAAACAGAGCCCAAGTGAGGAGAACAGAACCCGGGCTTCCTAACTCCTTGTCAGTTGCTCCATGAAAATGATAATGACAATGAAGATGTTATACCGGTCTCTCTACTAGGTATGTAGAGAATATGTCCTCTCATTTAAAATTTTTAAAAAATGTTTTATTTATTTTTGAGAGAGAGAGAGAGACAGCGTGAGCAGGGGAGGGTCAGAGAGAGAGGGAAACACAGAATCCAAAGCAGGCTCCAGGCTCTGAGCTAGCTGTTAGCACAGAGCCCGACACGGGGCTCGAACCCATGAACCATAAAATCATGACCTGAGCTGAAGTTGGATGCTTAACCGATTGAGCCACCCAGGCACCTCATGTCTGCCCATTTAATCTCACTACAGACCTATAAAGGTTTTTTCCTTCCCATGTTACAGGTAATGAAACGGAGACTCACAAAAGTTAAGAAATTTGCTCAAAGTCATGGATCTCACAGGACTTGCGTGCTATGCTAAACAGACAGAGCTTTTTCCTAAGGGCACTGGTGAGTGTGTTATGTTCCTATTTTATAGCCGTAATTAGCACAAACTGAGTGACCTAAAATAACACAAATGTATGAGTTTACAGGTTTTTTTTTTTTTTAAATATTTATTACTTTTGAGAGAAAGACTGCACAATCAGGGGAAGGACAGAGACAGAGAGAGGGAGACACAGAATCTGAAGCAGACTCCAGGCTCTGAGCTCTCAGTGCAGAGCCTGATGCGGGGGCTCCAATTCACCAACCCATGAGATCATGACCTGAGCTGAAGTCAGATGCTTAACCAACCGAGCCACCCAGGGGCCCTGAGCTTACAGTTTTTGAGGTCATAAGTCTGAAGTGGATTTCATTAGGCTAAGATTAAGGTGTCGGCAGGGCTGGGTTCCGAGGAGGCTCGAGGAGAGAATCTGTTTCCTTGCTTTTCCACCTGCATTCCTTGCATAGTCCCCTTCCATCTTCAAAGACGCCAATTATACATGCCGACCTCCGTTTCTATCATCACATCCCTCTAGACTCTATTCTTCTGCCCCCCCCCCCCCGCTTATAAGGACCTGGGTAATTATATTGGGCTCCCCCCAAATAATACACGACAATCTTTCCATCTGATGGCCCGTTGATGAGCAACTTTAATTCCATCCACAGCCTTAATTCCCCTTCCCGTATAACATAACATATTCACAACTTCCAGGAATTAGAGCCTGGACATCTTTGGG